CTGACTTTGGTCTACACGCTTTGAGAACATCAGAGAAAGATACAAGAGCACACAGCTACTGGACTCGTAAGTGAGAAAAAGTCTGCTAATTTTATAGATATTGCACGTTTTCAATTTACAAGATATGACTTTGTCACTACTCTTTAATATCGTCGATTACGTGACGCAAGACTATTTAGCGTCAGTTATATTGCTTCTTAAGGGCAGTTTCATCGGTCTGTAATAAAGTTTTAAACTGAAATAGGTATGCAATCTAACAAATACAGTGAATTTTTTTTGCCTGATATCTCCGTCCAAGACCTAAACTTGTAGTAGGTATTTATGTAACTTCTTGTCACGTTTTGGGACTTAAAACATCCATAGTTTTTTCTAAGTCAGTTAAACTTTACCTTGTCTTTTACCCTGAATCCCCAATTCTACTACTACCTACACTTTTCTCATTTGATAGACGATTTGACCTTACGTCGATAAAAAAACTGCCCTTATTAACAAAACAAATCTTAAGGTCTTCTGTGGACGTCACCCGAACTGCTTCGCCTCCCGGAACCGCCTCCGGAAGGGACCCAAAAAGGGGACGTGTACTCCTTTGGGATCATCATGCATGAGATCGTGAACCGCCAGGGGGCGTTCTGGCTCGGACCAGGAATCGAGCTGTCACCCAAAGGTAAGGAATGATTGATGTTGGAATGCGACTTTCGGGAATTTTCTGGATTTATGAATATTGTAGCGAAAGTGTGTGAAATGTTTTTGGTGTGTTTATACGAATACGTGAATGGCCAAATGCTTGACATAAAAGCACCGAATTGTTAGTTAGACTTCCATTTGTATTAAGATAAGATTCATTTAATTAAATTCTTATCTCGTATATGAAGCATAAAATTATAAAATTACCTGAATGAAAACCCTCTACTTAAACTTTAGATAATAATGCTCCTTCTGAATGATAATTGTAAGTAGACTTATACATTATCTTAAGTATTTACTAAGAGCCAAAGCACACGATGCGTTGCGGCGCCGCACCGCAAAGATTTCGCCGCACCGCTCGTGTGTTTTGGCTCTAAGGGCAAAAATTTTACATTGCCTTTAAATAACTCTCATCTACCCTCATCCAGAAATCGTCGAGACAGTGATCGCTAGCGGACTGCGACCCAACACGTCTCACCACCGGTCGTGCGACGCGGACGACGCGACCGAACTCATGCGCAGGTGTTGGGCTGAAGAACCTACTGAAAGACCCGACTTCGCGCATCTGAAGGGCGCTATTAGAAGGCTTAACAAGTCAGTGTTTATGTACTATTTATTTACTAGGCTATAAATAAGAATATTCATTTTCTTTAGTTATTAAAATTTCTTAGCGATTAGTCGCTTCTCAAACTAAATCATAAATAAACTACTTGAAAAAATCTAACTGCCTAAGGCGGGAATCGAACCCACGATTTTTAAACATAACCTAATGATGTTTCACAGTGCACAATGAAATGTTTATAAATAAACCCTACCTGTCATTGCTGTTAATATGTTCAAAGGCCCCGTTTCCACTAAAGCGGAGAAGTTTTTTTTTTAGTAATAATAACCAATCAGATTTCATTATTTCCACTTCTCCGCTCCGCGCCGTGCTGCCGTGGTGGAAACAGGGCCTTATTCACAAAGATATAATAGAGCTGCATCTTTTCCAGTATTTAAAATTTTGTTTTAAAAATTTTACTTTCAATATCTGTACTTTCAAAGACATTTTTTACAAGTAATTATTTACATTTTGTTTACAAAATAGAACCTATTTATAATTACATCTCTTTTGATAAAAAATAAGCCTAAGTACTTATTTACGTTGATACAGTATCGTCTGTTCAACACTGACTTATCAGAGCGTGAGTGATTTACAGAGCTCGGTTTCATGTAATTTTATCCCAAATTACTTACACAAAAAATGTAGAGAAAGTCGCTAATTTTCCGGGAAAAAGTTTCACTGGTTTCTACCACAAAGCATTATTCTGTTAGGATTATATTATCTTTGGAAGTGTATTAAATATTAAAAAGTTAACTGTTTCCGGCAGAACGCTCTTCCCTCTTCCGGCTATGTACGAACAAGATGTGTCTGTGTANGGTTTTTATGTAATGGTTTCTTTTTGATATTTGGACTACTTTCTTTAATAAATTATCATATTTTTTACAATAAAGGTTAAGAGTAGGATTATTTGCTTTAATTGATAATATTTTTAATAGACGTTTATTTTTACATGAAGTTTTGATGCCTTTTGTTAACCACTGTTTGTTTTTTATCTGAATTTTTACTTTTTTAATTGGTATACATTGGTTTAGAATAGATATAAGTTTTTGATGAAATGCTTCATAGTTTTCATTTATACTTTTGTCTAACTTTAAAATATGCTCCCAGTTGACTGTTTTCAACTCTAATCGAAAAAGTTCCATATTTTTTGCACTAAAAATTCTTTTTGATACATAATAAAAATTACTAGAATTTGTTTGACACTGATTTTTTAGAGTAATGCTTATTGCTTTATGATCAGAAAGACCAAACTCACAAACATTATTTTTAAGATTTGAACAGTCAAAATTAGTAAATAATATATCCAAACACGTAGAGCTTTTGTCGGTAATTCTTGTTGGTTCTTTTACGTTTAGTGTAAAATTATGACTTTTAAAGAGATTCATTATGTCCCTAGACTGTTTATTATCGTTTAAAAAATCCACATTAAGGTCTCCGCCAATCATTATATTTTTATTCGAGTACTTATACTTATACGAGATACGCATGATACATGAGGTAGAGTCTCGAAGTTCAAATGTTTTTGTAGAAAATACCTGTTTACGTTGTTGTTAATGAGTAAGACGAAAGGAAAGACATTCAGTTATTTGTAATGTTTCAGACATATTACTGTTAAGATTACTCTACACTGACTGTAAAGGAAATAAAATAATCTTTACTAACGATAAATAGTCGCTCTGGGGTGACTCTACAGAAATAACTCCCATTTCCTCTGAGGAGTTAATCTTCAATGGGTAATGCGGCTGTAATGATGTGTAGAATAAGGGTAATTAAGATAAGAGCTAGTTGTTAATTAGTTTCATCTACACTAAAAGGCACAACCACAGAGTACAATTCAATAAAATTACAATGATAACTTAACTAGGTTTCACATTTAAATTACATTGTTGTGAATGAAGTTTCACAACCTATCATTGAAGTTTATCATAATACGTACTGATCTGCTATCACTCCAAAGTTAGCCGAGCTCGCTCTTGAGTCACTAACAGAAAGACTAATTTTATACATGTGTACTTACATAGAATTATTTAAATGAAATGATGAATTTTAATTTCTGTGACGGGTCTGGGTGTGACTATGTATAATATTTATGTATTTAAAAAAAAAAAAAAAGTATATAAGTAGTATATCCGTTAAGCTAGCACCCATAACACAAGCATTAAGTTGCTTACTTTGGGGCTAGCTGGCGCTGTGTGAAATTGTCCAAAGATTTATTATTATTATTATTATTATTATTATGTTTGTACGCTTTGGAGCTCACGGGTCAAAAGTGACCCGGTCCTTTATAAGGCTTGCGTGGGGATACAGATCCAACACGTANAAAAATTCTTTTTGATACATAATAAAAATTACTAGAATTTGTTTGACACTGATTTTTTAGAGTAATGCTTATTGCTTTATGATCAGAAAGACCAAACTCACAAACATTATTTTTAAAATTTGAACAGTCAAAATTAGTAAATAATATATCCAAACACGTAGAGCTTTTGTCGGTAATTCTTGTTGGTTCTTTTACGTTTAGTGTAAAATTATGACTTTTAAAGAGATTCATTATGTCCCTAGACTGTTTATTATCGTTTAAAAAATCCACATTAAGGTCTCCGCCAATAATTATATTTTTATTCGAGTACTTAGACCTTATAATATTCAAAAGTTTCTCAAGCTGCATATTAAAAATCATTACTTCTCTACTACTATTCGGCCAATATATTACAATTAACATAATATTAAGCGTGGGAACATTTACTGCGCTTATTTCTATTATATATTCAATTGACAAGTCTGTTATTTCCTTACATTCATTAGAANCGTTTATTTTTAAAAGTGCACATACAAAAAAGATCAATTAGTTTTTAGAGGATCAAATAATATTGTCCCTTTGTTATTTGGGCAACAATTCGATGTAGTTTCCTCATCAGCCAGATAGTTTTGACCATTCCAACCCCTTGTCAGATAAGTTAAGGTAGCTGGCAAAGTCACAATGACCCAAACTTCATGATCGCCCAATTTTCTTACCTTATGTTGGGAGCATGCGCTGACAAACTTTCAGCTGTTGTAAAATAACGAAGCGGTGGCGTTCTTTTTGTGTTTCTTTACTTGGTCTTGTTTATACACCAGAATCAATACATTTTTGCATAGATCCAGTTAATTCTGTTACCAATTATTAATACCGTTGGAGAGAGCTCGTGAAGCACTTTTAGGATCATTAACCAGTTTTACGATATCTTATTTAGTTTTTAATATTATATGACTGTGTACCAAATGTATGAAAGCTGGAAACATGGAATTTTAGGATAGATCTAGTTTATTCTGTAAACTATTATTGGTACCGTTTGATAGAGCTCGTGAAGCACTTTCAGGATCAGTAACCAGTTTTTTGATATCTAATGTAGTTTAGAAACAATAGAGTGAGATCACTTATCGTTTCCACTCTGTATACTTAGAGAATCTAATCTATGTCTGTATATCAAAAAGGGTACGAATATTTTTAGCTCACTAATTCCTTTTTGGTATTATTTTAATCCGGAAAACTTTTATAATTTCGGTACCTATCGGTATTTATCTTATACCTACAGGTAATTAGGTAGGTATTTTAGTTATAATGATTCTAATATGAATAGAAATCATCTAATAATAAATACTAGCGAAGACTCTTCTCCGCCATTTCTGCCTCAAATAAAAATCGTTAGAATTCGTTTAAGGAGCAACTTGCCAAGTGAGGGTGAGCGCCCGCGTTGACGGACTGGCCGCCGGTGATGCGGGAGCCGTCGAAGTCCAGCGCCGCCTCGTGCTGCCTGATGCGCGCCGCCTCCGCCATGCCCGCGGCGCTGTGGTAGAACAGCATCGGCTCCTGCAGGCCCGCCGCCGCCTCCGCCGCCACCAACGCCGCCAGTGCCAACAACAACACACACGACTTCATCCTTGCGACAGTTATCATTGAGAGATGACGCTTACTCTTCGAGGGTTATTTTATAGCCTCTACATTATTATCTTATCCTTTCAATGCTTGTCCAATGACCGTCTGAAATTTAGTTAATGCCGTAATTAGTCATTTGCTGTGGATTTATTGATAAATAATTATGTTTGAATGTTTTACATGATTTTAATCAAGAAAATGTCCGCAATCGGCATATTTTATACGTCTCATAACCTTGGCTACATGTGTATGTACGCGCTTGTAAATTTCCTTTGGTTCGTCTCTGTGTCATTTAGGTAGAAGGCGCAATAATGACGTATCGCTCGTACGTAGGCGGGTAGGTATGCTCAAAGTTTTAACGAAGATATGAGGGATGAGATTATAATAATCCAGTATTAACTTATTAAGTAGCACAATATGATTTGTTGTATGGGGATTTTCGCAGATTTTCTAAAAGGATTATCGCATACTAGCGACCCGCCCCGGCTTGGCACGGGTGCTTTTTTTTTTTTTTTATGTGATAGGAGGCAAACGAGCAGACGGATCACCTGATGGTAAGTGAGTAAGTAGGTATTACATATTTTATAAACCTTGGTCTTGAATCACTCTATCTATTAAAAACCGGCCAAGTGCGTGTCGGACTCACGCACAAAGAGTTCCGTACCATTGATTTATGATTTTTTTTTTAATTTAAGTTATTTGTATGAAAGATTACGCGGTAATAAGCGGTTTACGATTTACGAGGTATTAAAAAAAACTACTTACTAGATCTCGTTCAAAACAATTTTCGTTGGTAGTTTTTATAGTAATGTACATGATATGTTTTTTTTAGATTTTTCATTTTCTTATTTTAGAAGTTAGAGGGGGGGGGGGGGACCAACTTTTTTCCACTTTGGAAGCGTCTGTCACGCAAACTATTCGGTTTAGAAAAAAAGTATTTTAAAAACCTCGATATCATTTTTGAAGACCTATCCATAGAAACCCCACACGTAGGTGTTTGAAAATGTATGTAGTTAAAAATTTTTGAGTTTCATTTCTAAGTATGGGGAGCCCCCAATATTTATTATTATTTTTTTATTTTTGCATCAAAATCTTAATGCGGTTTACAGAATACATGTACTTACCAAGTTTCAACAGTATAGCTCTTATAGTTTCGGAAAAAAATGGCTGTGACATACGGACGGACAGACGGACGGACGGACAGACAGACAGACATGACGAATCTATAAGGGTTCCGTTTTTTTCCATTTGGCTACAGAACCCTAAAAAACCGTATCAAAATCCGTGGCGTAGTTTTAAAGATCTAAGCATACATAGGGATTAGGGACAGACAGCAGAAAGCGACTTTGTTTTATACTATGTAGTGATAGTTAATTATGTTTTTTATAATCTATTTAAAAAAGAGATTAAAGCTTAAGTGTTAAGTTCAAGACTTTATTTGCTTTTCTTTGTTTTTGCGTAGTATGACGTAAGTACGTTATCTTGTGTTGATAAGAAAAAAAGTAGCTCGCAAATCTGTCACATTCATGTTATTAATTTAATATTATCAAAAAATTCTTATAACCCAATATCTATAAAATTTAAATAGGTATATTTATCTTTATTAAAGCAACATACTAAAACACCTTTTGAATTTGAATGAAATTTATACCTAACTTGTCCAATATTCTTTGATCGTCAAAATGTTTATAACATGCTAATGTGGTGTAGCAATAAAGTATTGAGTATTGAAATAATCATCAATGTAATATGAAATGGTCATCAAAACGTAGGTACCTATCTAAAATTATCATCGAATAAAATAGTAAATTATGGCAGCCAAAGTAGGTATGTCGAATGACCGATTCGCCGTCGTCACATATGGTGAAAAATTGATCCCGTCAAAAACAATACTTGTCAAAAAAACCAAGTCTCGCAACTCAGTTGTTCTACGGTAAAAAGTTGTGAGATCCATGTAATACCAAGTCCAGGCCAGGAAATCTTTAACGTTTTACATAAATATATTGACTTGGCCATCGCATGAAAACACGTGTAAATTAAATTATTTAGTGCGATGGCCAAGTCAATAATTTTGAAAAGAAAAATTTTACTCGACTTGGCGGTTGCACTACCGTGCCCCCAAATATTTTAGTTTTTCCTTGATTCATACACCAAACACTACTTATATTCCAAATTTGAAGCTTCTAGGTCTACTAGAATTGCCTTAGAGTTTTGAGGATCGGTGAGTCAGTGAGTCAGTCAGTGAGTGACAAAAATTTTAAATATACCGTGTCTTTACAATGCCTGCATAGCTAATGAAAATTCAGCCTTCTAGTTTTATCCACAACGAAGTTACAGGCGGTCGAAAATGGCCTGAATTGCTTCGAGAAAAGGATGGTACGGCCGTGCCGCTTTTTTGCTCGACTTGGTGGGGGCACTTCTACTTTTCGTCCCTTAGCTAACAACACCGCCTAAGTCGATTTTTGGCGGTTTTGACATTTTAATGCCATTGGATAGATCTGCTCATCGCGCGTCTAACCATTGGTCACATGTTATAGATTTCAGCCAATAAGAAGCCGTAATTTGAATTTTAGTGACACCGCGCAAGTCGGTTTGCCTCGCAACACCGCTCAAGTCGTTAGTCTGCCATACATTTGTCCTAAAGTTCCTTCGCGCTCTGCAATTTTTATATTTTTAAGTGNCATTAGAAGCTATATAATTTTTTAAAAGTATACAAGTTCCACCCCCCTCTCTAGTAGCTCTACAAAACATACTCGCTACGCTGTAACCTTCTAGGTGTAATAAATCAATTTTTGCAGCTGTTATCCATGTTTCAGTTAAGCAGATAGCGGCAAAGTCTCGTTCTTCAGTGAGAGCCTCCAGCAAGTGGGTTTTATTCTTGATACTGCGTATATTTTGGAATATGATTGTGGCTTCATTACGGGCGAAAGGAGTGATTATTCGCTCGTCGTTGTTCTTCTTTAGGTTGACCCTGGGTGGGAGATAGTGTAGGTAGTGTGGACCTGGCGCGACTTGTCCTTGACTGTGTATTTATTTGGCTTTTTTCATGACTATTTCTGAAATTTAGTCGTCTCTGCTGTCTTTCACGTAGCCCCTGTTCGTCAAGATATTCAGAGATCCATAGACCAGAATTCTTGAACATATTCCTACATGAAAGCAGGTATTTGACCATCCGCTTGCTGAGTAATTCTATTTTTAGGGGTCTTCTGTAGCCTTTTTTGCCTATACGGTCCATTTCCTCAATATAACCCATCAAATTTGTATGAGTTATATCTCGAAAAACTGCGAGTACTCTGTCATACAGTTCAATATCGGATTCATGATGATATTCATTTAATCCATACAAAACCAGGAACTTGCATCTCTCTCCTGCATCAACACATTTAACTGGAGCATTTTTTATCTCATTTTTGTGATCTACGGCACTTGCTGGTTTCTGTTGCTGCATCGTAGTTGTTGAAGGTGATCCAGGCAAAATACTGTGGTTTGCAGAATCCTGACTTAGAGCTCTTCTTTGTAGATCTTGACGAAGTTTATTATTTTCTTTTTCAAGTTCACTTATTCTGTGTGAGTTGTCCTGAACTGTAGAACGTAAGTCTTGTATTTCAGTTTCTAATAATTTTTGTTTGTTATTTATGGTATTTATTCCTTCCAAAACTGTTTTAATTGTATCTGATAAATCATTTTTGAAGCTCTCCTGATTTTGGTTCTGGATTGTTAGCTGTTTTTTAATTTCGCGTATTTCTGTTAGCAACAAGCTCTCCTCTGGTTGACATGATGTGGTATCGAACATCAGTGTATCTCCCTGCGGCGGCGAGTCATCTATAGCAATGGACTCAGATAGGTCAATGTTTCTGGTTGTTCTTTTTCTGAATGTTATATTTTCATTTGAAGTTTGTGGTTTATTTTCGTCATCCAAGGCTGGCATCTGGTTGCGAACAGGAGTATTTGTATTATCATATTTCGGCTGTTTAGATTTACACTCTGGGCAAATCCAGTTTTTCTTATGTTCCGCTGTCATTGTATTATAGAAACGTTTCTCTGGTACATTAACGCATGGTAAATCGAATTTTCCTGAACATTTCATGCAAACAAGAAATCTTCTATGATTGATTTCTCCCAAACAAGCTGCACATTTATTTATATTTTCAGCATTCCCTTGGGACGCCATCTTTTGGTGAGGTTCACTCGATTACTTAAGTATAAGATGCGGTATACTACTCGCCAGTAGATGGCTCTGATTGATGGTAATTTATTTATAGTAAGGGCTGTCGTCGAGTAGTTAGTTTTACTACTCCTTACTAGATGGCGTTGTATGCTGGTAATTACTATTTACTTCAAGTGATGGTGGTTGTCTTCGAGTAATTAAGTGAACTACTCCTCACCAGATGGCGCTGATTGATCGCAAATAGATTATGTAGTAGGTAAGTGTGAAATCTAAAGATGGAACAGATTTAGGTTTCTTGAATTATATCACAAAACTGTTTTTAGCAATCAACACTGGGATTGTTTTGCTTCACTGTGTTGTTTCTCAAGTATTGTCACAAAAATATGTAGATGTTATCACTTCACAACAAAGTTTTAGCTGAACTTAGTCTGTCCACATATTTTCTTAGTTTTTAGTTATTAATTGTGCTTTATTCATAGAGATAACACTATCACTTCTTAATCAGAGTCTTTACTTTATTAATCAAACGTTTTTATTACACTTTTTCGAGTTTTACTATTTTTTAAGGTAACGAAACACGGAGCTGTTTGTTTACATGAGAGCAGCGCCCTCTATCCTCTCCATCTATTCCATTAACAGGAAAGGTGGAGATAGTCTTATTCTTTTTCGTCATAAGATACCTACCGATTATTATTTGTATTAAAACCTTATTGAATTTCCAGGTGAATCAGTATCAGACCGTGCCGAGAGCGAAGCGCGAGTGGTGAGCGACCAGCGATGCATAGAAGTTAGGATCGCACGCGCAGCCGGCGGTCTCGGGCTAAGCATCGCTGGCGGTCGCGGCTCCACGCCATATATTGGCGATGACGATGGCATCTTCATATCGAGGGTCACACCTGGCGGCCCGGCGTATATGGCTGGTCTTAGGGTGGGTATACGCATGATTTTGACCGAAAATAAATATGTTTTTAGCGTAAATAAACAAAACATAAATTCCTACGAAAAATTAGGGTCTCTTGATACAAATCCAGTAAGCCTGCCTCTAAACTGTAACAAAATGATGAATGAATTTCGAGCTGTATTTTATCTTCATTTATAAGTGTCACTCTACAACTTCAACAGAAAAAAATATCATGCACGCCAATCTACGACAAAACGACGAACAAATATTTTTACAGAGCATCGCGATTGAATTCAATTTTCATCATCATCTCTCATCGCCTATACAAAAATGCATTTTACATCAACGTTGTTATTGAATATCAAGTGAATGATTGGTCAATTTATTCCCGACCCCACTGGCATTTAAACTTAATTGAGATACCTATGGTCAGTCATTGAATTTCTTCTGCGTGCAAGATATGACATAATGGAAATTTTAGGTTATGAGTACCTGAGTTCAAATGGTTACAGTCTCAGTTATAAAAACATTGATTCAGAGACGAAAATAGTAACTTCTTGACCGAAGGATTTATTGCGAGTTTTGCGACGGTGTTGTTCAACATTGACTTTGAAATCAATTTCCGCTTATGACATCTTTATTTGTGGCCATAACTACGGCTGCTGTTACGCGCTTGACACGCATCAATCTTGTATTCCATTAAATCGTTTTAAGTGTGTTTTGGTCAACGAAAATTGTGTACTCGTAGGTGTCTAAAAGTTGAATGAGATATTTAGATTCCAAGTGAAGTTTTTCTGGTAGACAATTAGCAGTGAATTGAAATGTTTATCAAGTTATGAGTGATACGGAATTTTAATTAAACATTGTGTTTATGCCACGAGAAATCCCATAATGCGTAAAACGTTCAGACTCCCACGCAGAGAAATGCTATGTCCAATAAAAGTCGACTATAAATGTAGCACTTTCTACGTGTATAATAAAGTACGGTTTAATTTTCAGGTGGGCGACAAAGTACTGTCAGTGAACGGCACGTCTGTCGTTGAGGTGGACCATTACTATGCTGTGGAAGTCCTAAAAGCTAGTGGACAAACGTTGACGCTTGTCGTCACCAGGGATTCACCTAATTCCACCAGGTAAATAGCAAAAAACGGTAATGCTAATTGGTTGCGTCAATCGCCCTAAACTGTGTAAACCACCAAAATGAGACAAAAAATTTATAAGCGAGCTTCAGTGTATTTTAAGTTAAAAATCTTTTATCACAGCCATTTTGCAGTGGTAGGTACTGCAGTGTTCACACATTTAAATTTAAAATTCCGGTTTCGCAGTAATCAACGGCATAAATCGTAAAGCTACGTGTTTCAGTGTCACATACGGGCTTGCGAAAATAAACACTTTTTTTTTACCGGTGAACCAAAACGTGAAGATTTTTAAAACCGTTTTGCTAACCGTATTAAAAGTACAGTGGACATCACATCAGACTTTACTTTTTGGTTACAAAATAGCTCCTGTTACAACAAAAACAGATACCACAATATCTAGCTCTATGTGCCGTCGCCTGTACATATATTTACTTCGGCATAAAATGCAAGTTGCATTGTATACTTTATCACACGCGTTTATTTTGACAGGACACACAGCAGAGCGCCTAGTGGGGCGAGCCACCATTCCGTATCGAGCACTACTGACACAGTTTCCACTTTAGAGAATGGACAGGTATTGTTTATATTTTTATTAAATTATTCATGTCTTTTATGCTGACTATCTCCTGAATTTAGTCCTCATTAGAATGATTCCATATGCTGGCTAGACTCTAGCCTTTTGATATTGAACGATGAGATCAGCGTAGCACTGATATTTAAAGATCGATATAGGTCAATTTAGCGATAGATGTTCTCTGAAGAAATATGCTTTCAAATATTATCCAATGTTGTTTTTAGATTGAGTTCTATTCACTTATCTATATCGTTAAAAGATTATCTTTATTATGATCCTCAAAATTATTAGTTCATTCACTAAAATCATAATGTTTTGGCTCATCATAGGAAGTGTCAACTGAAATGCAATTCAAATTGTATTATCGCAGACTGCGATCTGTTAACCTTGAGATAAAGGACATTGTTTTGTATTCGAGGTTATCTACTCTGATCTTTGTAGCGTAAAATGGCGTAATGTCATAATCAGACTTCGACTTATTTCTATTTAAAGGATTACAAGGGTTATGTACCTTCAATAATTTACTGAAAGTCAATAACCCATTATTTTATGACTTATTTTCTTATATTCAGTAGCGAATATGACGTGACTGTTTAATATTGTATCATTTTCCTCACCGATTCGAAATAAATCAATTTTTAGCGATTGATCTGTCCGTCTAAGATGTCGAATATGTCTACCGTGTAATATTGGCGACTTTAATTTTCAAAATCACTTATTGAATTTCCAGATCCCAACCGGCCGAGGCATTCCATCCAAACCGCTGATCATCGGCAACCAGTACGCTCAAGAATTCGAGCCAGAGTACAAAGAGCCGATGAAACTGAACAACAACCAGGCGCCTGTGGTTATCACGCCAGCTGTGAACTTCAGTCCCTCGCCCACGGGGCAGGCCGACTACCAGCGGCTTCAGGCCTCCCCGCCGCCGCCGTCCACGGCACCGTACATTCCGCCTGGTGAGTAGTGGTCATACGTAGTTGTGGTTACTCTAGGTCATAAACAATAGCCAGGTGTTCAAGCTGGATTACAAGGAGCCGGTGAAACTGAACAATAACCAGGCGCCTGTGGTGATCACGCCAGCTGTGAACTTCAGTCTCTCGCCCACGGGGCAGGCCGACTACCAGCGGCTTCAGGCCTCCCCGCCGCCGCCGTCCACGGCACCGTACATTCCACCTGGTAAGTCGCGGTTATAAACCCTATTCCTGTAACTCTAGGGCTCAAAATAAACAGTTATTGGTTGGAGATAGGGCCTGATTACAAGGAGCAGGTGAAACTGAACAACAACCAGGCGCCTGTGGTGATAACGCCAGCTGTGAACTTCAGTCCCTCGCCCACGGGGCAGGCCGACTACCAGTGGCTTCAGGCCTCCCCGCCGCCGCCGTCCACGGCACCGTACATTCCGCCTGGTGAGTTATGGTCATACGTAGTTGTGGTTACTCTAGGTCATAAACAATAGCCAGGAGTTCAAGCTGGATTACAAGGAGCCGGTGAAACTGAACAACAACCAGGCGCCTGTCGTGATCACGCCAGCTGTGAACTTCAGTCCCTCGCCCACGGGGCAGGCCGACTACCAGCGGCTTCAGGCCTCCCCGCCGCCGCCATCCACGGCATCGTACATTCCGCCTGGTGAGTTATGGTCATACGTAGTTGTGGTTACTCTAGAGGTCATAAACAATAGCCAGGAGTTCAAGCTGGATTACAAGGAGCCGGTGAAACTGAACAATAACCAGGCGCCTGTGGTGATCACGCCAGCTATGAACTTCAGCCACAGGGCACTTCTGCAAATTCTCCAAATCCTCCTGCTCTGCCTCCGCCTCTGGTTACAAAATCACAGTACAAGTCGTAGCGTTTCCAAATACGTACGGTATTTATTTTGTGAATCTTTAATTCTATAAGCATTGTGTGAATTTGTGATATGAACTTTAGTAATGACAGGCTCAAAAGAGCTAGATCCAGGGCCATAAAAACCAAAAAAACTCCTAACGTTTTTTTTTTTGTTTCACAGTATACCAACAAAAGGTCCTAGTCCACACGACGTTGATCCGCGACGGAGCCGGGCTCGGGTTCAGCATAGCGGGCGGGAAGGGCTCCCCTCCGTACCGGGACGACAGCGACGCCATCTACATCTCGCGCATCTCGCCGCAGGGCGCCGCCGCCAAGGACGGCAAGATGATGGTCGGCGACAAGGTGGTGTCGGTGAGTGTCGCAGTATACCAGCAAGGGGCCTAGTCCACATGACGCTAAAAGCTTCCCCCACACTATCATCATCATCATCTCAACCATAGGACGTCCACTGCTGAACATAGGCCTCCCCCAATGCTTTCCATGCTGCCCGGTTGGTAGCGGCCTGCGTCCAGCGCCTTCCTGCTACCCACACTAGCGACTATCGAACGTCGTCGTCTTGCGCAGCGTCGACGCGATGCTCTTTACTCTAAATAATGTGACGCCAGCGCTACGAAGATTCAAACGATTTCGTCTTTTTGTCTTGTCAACAACAATCCTATACAGTGACAGCTCAAAACTTTACTTCAATACTGGCATTGTCAGCCCCCCTAGACAAAACGCACTTTTTGAACGAATCGAAAATCGAATACGTCAAAACTCCACACAAAAAAGGGGCTTTTCGACCACTTTTCGACTGGTTTGCGATTATAATTTGCACTTTGTCTAGACCCACAGTAGCATTCATTAAATCTTCCTTGCACTTGTTTCACGACGACGAAGATCCAACAACTTTAAATTTCGAAAGATACTAGTGTGGGTGGGTGGTCCCTAAACTGCACCGGAGCCGGTCTCATAAGAGTGTCATAAGAATCTTCTGTGTCCGAATTCAAGCCGCTCTACATGTGTCCCAGCTGGTAGCTTTATGTCGACTCTTAAAACTGATTATTTAATGTTTAACTTCTCTAATAATTTTTACAAAATCTCACTGTGAATTTGGTTTTCAGATCAACGGCGTAGACATGGAGAATGGGCGTCACGAGACGGCTGTGTCGCTGCTTACAGGACACGAGCGCTTTGTGCGACTCGTGTTACAGCGAACCATCACCTCCGAACACGGTGAGTGAGCCACTGGGCTGATGTGAATGGGAACAGTGGTGAAACTGATCACTGAATGATGGCTGCCATGCTAATTTGAACTTTCTGCTATGGCTAATTGATGAAAAACACAATATAGAAGACTGCCAAATGACTACATCTATGCGATGTTTACGGGCTAAGTTTGTTACAGTCAATGAGAAAAATAATTTAAAAACCACTGTTCCGCATTTACTTTAATTAATTATTGTTATGTTGGTAAAAGTACTGAAAAAGATAAGCTTTCTTTGAGCCTGTTTCATTTAAAGATCTCAGATGTGATACCGTAAGCATATTTTATCTCTTAATCATTAAATGCATTTCCATATTATACACATAAATAAATGAATATTATGTGCATCGCTTAGCTTCATTGTAAATCGAAATGTTTTTTCTATAGGCGAAACGCCCCCGCGCAAGTCGACGTCAGACGAAGTGAGAGAACACAAGACGAGCCTGCAGAATGTGAACAAATCACCGTCACCGATACCGACACAGATAATACAGCCGCCGGCACCGAAACCCACCAATCACGTTAGCGCAATAGTCGGCAATCACACCTCGCACCCCGCACCGCGAGCGTCCACGCATGTCGCACCGCAGCTCGCACCGCAGCTCGCACCGCAGCTCGCACCGCAGCTCGCACCACAGCCCGCACCGCAGCCGGTGAAGCAAGCGGCGCCCGCGCCGGTCCCGCCGCAACCCGCACCGAGGCGGCTGAGTCAAACGAATGGACAGGTGAGATTAGAGGCTTTTGTTTCACCGCCATAGCGCCATTTTATGTTCGTCGTTTTGACAGCACTGTAAATGACGTTTGAAATATCTCAGTGAGGCAGCAGCGATAACATTGAGTGATGGCATATTGCTGTCGCCGAAAAATTAAAAGTTTAATGATATTACAAAATAATTAATATAGTCAACAAGATGTCAAGTTAACACATGGAGCATTACTTATCACCTAATATCAACAACTTAATACACGAAAAGAAGTGCCTCAATATGATCATTTTTCTATCGTGTTAGCTGAGAGAAATTACTTCGTAAACCTTTTGTGAGACTTTTTTAAGCAGTCTTTAGTCATAGATATGTACAGATCTTAGATTGTACAGTACGAACGTTTGACAGCCTGCTTTTTAAAAACACGCTTTTGTAGTTGCGGCAACGGCACCAAAGTTTAGATAAAATTTGGCAAATGTTTTCCATACACTGTTCACACTATTATTCTTCTTGCTTTTGTTGAATTCTGTACACATGGAATATCGGTTCTGGTTTTTTATTGGTTTTAAAAACTATCATTATGTGAAGCATAGCATTATTTGAAGCATTCTGTGATAGTCGAAAAATGTGAAAGGATGTAAGGAATTTTGAAAGTATGTAAGGAAATATGGATGTGTTCGAAAAGTTATAAAAGCTAAGATGTATGTAAATAATGAATGGATGTGTGAATGATATTTTTTAAACTATCATTGAATGCCTCATAAAATAATGCCAGCTCTTTAAAAACTTATTCAAAAATACACGTTTCCCGTACTAAATTCTGTACAGTTGGAGCCTTTTAGCCGCTTGAACTGCGCATAAACGTGTTCACTATTAAAGCTATGAATGGTTGACTGCAGGGCCCCAAGTCGACAACTAACAGTGCGAGCACGCCCTTAACCCCCGGCGCTCCTAACACCCACGGCTCTACAGACGACGTGTTCGAAGACATCCAGGTGAGATAGACCTAGCACGCAAATAAACCCCAAACAATACAGGTGATGGTACCGATTTAACACGTTCACATCCGTGCTTATACGTCTGCTTCACACCATGTGTTCGCGCCTTCACTTCACTGTAGACTAGACGGCGCCACGATACCCGCGATAGATACCGAACCTTATTCGTCTAGAAATACAGAGCTCATATTTCAAGATGAAAACGTACGGTATCGATCACGGTTATAACGCTGGCGGTCGCTCTCATTACATACTTACTTCCTATGCTTTATTCGACACTTTTTTCCAGACTGCCCCAAGTCGAGTCCAGGTTATGTATCGAAAGCTTTGACGCGATCAAATGGTTATTTGCATCTGGTATTTAGTGATATTGTCATAATATTTATTAATTTTTACAAAAGATATGTTTCTTAGTCTTTTTTATTTTTTTAAAAGAATTGTAACGTCACAAATCTTCCATTTCAGGGTAGCTTATAGACGCGTAGATACTAAAATACATAATAGATATTTATTTAGCCTCTATTACGATATTATTGGGATTGGTTGACCTTTTTAAATGATATACAATATTGTTTCAATGGAGTTTTCAATAAGTATAAATACGTGAGAATGCTTTGTTGTGTCGAATAGTGGTTTTGGTGGCGGTAGTAGTCAAGATGTCTCAATCTCATTACGTATCAAAACATTAGTATTAATAGTACATAAGTATCTGAAAATATACCTAAAAATTGGTTTCAAGACAGTTATTTTTAAATTTTGTACACGCATGTCAAATTGACAGCTGCTTAATGCCGCAACTGGCTACTATACACCTTTCTGCTTAGCATATAAATGAGATGCACATTGTTGCCTCGAAATGATCAAAAATAATTTTACCCCGTCTTTGTTGAAATTACGTAAAAACTTAAATTTGACATAAATAAAAATTCGAAGAAGAGAGTATAAAAAATTACTTCTTTAATCATGACATCACTTCTATAAAATTTTCTGTGATTGTTACTTCATTCGATTCGAATTCTACATCGTTATATTCCACATCTCGCCAACGCGCCTGTTACTCCAACAATAGATAAAAAAATATGTTTATTTTCGTAGTATAGAGTTGATGTAGATGTAATCATGTCCGAGTGTCTCAATAAAACATTATGTAGGTACAGGAAAACCTAACAATCTTCTGTCATGTCAGTTGTCACTTGCGTGTTTCTATGTTCATACATAATTAACAATTCATTTGGTGAATTGGCGATAAATAAGTTTTATAAATTATGCCTTTAGTCAATAACTGCTGCATAAAGATTTTTGCCTACACTGATTTTATTTAAAAAGAAATTCGATAAACATCATTACTTTTTTGCACTTTAATTTATTTACCAACAATTTTAAAGCATTTTGTGTGCTTAAAACTTTTCCTTATTTGACGTTGTTTTAATTATAATTTATTATGTATAAATATTATGCTTAGTCACATTTTTATTAATTTGTTATTAACAATTTTAATGGTTGATTTTTTTATCGACACTTAATTTTTAATTGAACAACTTTTAATCTAGACATTCTTTGCACACAATTTCTTTCAAATGATATTTTTCTTGTTTATTTTGGGTTAGATTTAAACACGTTAGTGTAATTTATCCTTTACTTTTTTATTCAAACAAAAAATAATGAACTGTCATAATTCAGTTTACATGCCGTTTGATCCCGCTCAGTTTTACAGTTAAAGGACCATTAATTAATTAATTTTAAAGTAATTCAAAACTGGACACGACTAAGGCACACTAAAACTGTCCACTGATACGAATGTGAACGTGTTAAACGCGCAGCCGTCGCGGCCGATCACGAACGAGGAGTTCCAAGCGATGATCCCGGCTCACTTCCTCGGCGGGCCGCGGCCGGTGTCCGAGCCGCCGGAAAAAGGCGTGCGCGTCACCGTCGAGAGGCCCACCGCCGGAATCGTGATGCCGCCGCCGCCGTCCGCCCTCGGACGTGTCACGGAGACGATCACCAAGTCGACGTTCACGGAGACCACGGTCACGAGGATCACGGACAACCAGCTCGTCGCGCCGCTCATCATCGAAGTAAGGAACATTGATGTAATGATTCGCTTACGATATTTACGGTTTTTGATCGCACAAATCTTTTTATTGCTCGAACGTTGATCAAACAGATACTGTAATTATTATAAACCTCATTTTTCCTCGGTCTAACTAAACTTACTTTTTAAACAATGAGGGTTTTCGCGAATGAAAAATCCGCCAGATGGCAATACGTAGATGCGAGGTCCAAATGCTGCATGATTTGTTATTTTTGACATTGTGTGTGACATTGACAGATATGTCAAAATCTACCAATCACGCAGCAGTCAGACCCTACATCCACGTCCCGCCATCTAGCGGATCTTTCATTCGCGAAAACCGTCATTGACATAATATACCTAACCTATGTATTTTTTCTATTGGACCGCCAAAAGCGGTCGCGATAATACTACTTATTATTAGATGAAAGATTGGAACCTACTAAAAACATGGACTATTTTGAAAATACATGGTTATTTTTATTAACGTTTATTGCAATGCAATCTTAAATTCTGAAATTATTCAATTCATTTATAAATAAAATATAAAAGATTCGAATTCTTTTTTTTTTTTTGTTAACTCGTTAAACATATTTATTAAAATCTACAGATAAACTTAAAATTACTTAAAAACTAAGATTCGAATTCTTAATTGGAACAGTTCAATAATTCATCTACCATTTCCAAAATAAACCGAGTTGGTCAACGTTTGTTAAAAATACCGTTTTCTTTTATTCTTGAATAAATATAAACTATTTAATTACTAGTACATTAACACCGGAGTAAGCGTATTTATTTATTGCATTATTGTATCGTATGCGAATCAATTCTAACAAAATATTGGAACTTTGCTCTGTAAATAGGTACAGCTTTTGGCAGATATGTTGAGGTATACCAATAGTATATAAGGAAAACCATATAGTATGTATTACATACAGTACACACACCTAAAATAAACCAAACGAACTTCTCGAATATCGAGCTACTATTCACTGAAGTTCGTTTAGGCGGTGTATCTACAAAATGCCCATGTGTGTCACGTTAATTGGAATAAAGACTTATTTAATCAAAATAAAAAAATATTTTCGCATTGATGTCGATACACCTTACACACGTTGCATGTGCAACTTCAATGAAATAAATACACAATAAAATATCTACATAATATTTAGCTTTACAGAATGTTTTCTTTTTTAGATTTTGTTTAAGATATTTTTATTGAACGTATTGATTTCTTTGTTCCAGGATGTGACTTTAGTCAAAGATGGCGGATCTCTCGGTTTTAGCATCATCGGAGGAACAGATCATTCGTGCATTCCATTCGGAGGCAAAGAACCAGGAATATTTGTGTCCCATGTAAGTTGAAAACATTTTCAAACAACAGCAGTGATTCCACAAAACAATATTTTTTTTGTAAATAGGGATGTTTCCTGGGTAAAAAAGCAAGAGTTTTAATTAGTCCATCAGTTAGCTTATCAAAAACTACTCGACACGTATTTTTCACTTTTTAAGACTAATGAAAATGTAAAGAGATAAAGCGTGCCAAAGTTCTAAAGAAAAGGTCCGTGACGTCAGTGAGTGCGTAAAAGTGCAGCACTTTGTGACGTCGCGCGGAACTTCAACGCACTATAACTTTGTAATTATTTGTTTGATTGACAATTCAAAATATACGTGTCCAATATTTTTTTATATCAAAATTGACGGACTAAAAAAATTTTGTTAGGAAACTAGCCTATTGGCTGTAAATGATAAAGTACTTTTTCATCTCCGAACTTTATCCTATATCCTGTAATAATATGCAGCTATCGAGTAAGATTTTTATCACTATTGGAGCCAACTGATGACCACAAAGACCATAGCAGTATTTATTAGTTTGATCCAACCTGATTGATCGATAAAAAGGATATTGGTGACTTCATTTGTTAGAACCCACATGACAGAAGATGTCAACTAAGCCATTTAATACTTTTAACACGTCAACACGTTTTAACAGGTGGTACCCGGCGGCGTGGCGGCTCGCTCCGGCAAGCTTCGCATGGGCGACCGCATCCTCAAAGTCAACGGTCACGAACTGACTGGTGTCACGCATCGCGAGGCGGTCCAGTTGCTGCTACAGCCTGGTCCTACACTAGGCCTGACTGTCCGCCACGACCCACTGCCTCAGGGATACCAGGTCAGTGAGGGTTAAATGCATGCACGGTGGATAGGTGACATTAACGTTGTAGGAAGGGTAATATTATATTGTATAGGTGATTTCAACTTTGCGAGAAGGACCTAGGTAGTGATACTATGTAATTTTGATTTAAAAGGGAAAGTGCCTTTGTTGAGGTTGCAAGAAGTCAATGCCTCAACCTTGCGGGAAGGACATGTGCACTATTTAAGGTTTTAAGAAGCCACTGAATGCTAACGGCTCAGAGCTGCTAGTGGCGTTTTATGGGGGAGGCCTATACCCAGTAGTGGACTTCTAGAGACTGATGATGAGTCATAGTGACTTTTATCTAGTATTTGGAACTTTACTGAATTAGCATAAAAATAATGATTTTATGAGAGACCAGACGACATCTCTTATTACTAAGCGTTTTCAATCTTTCTATTGCTATATTGGTATTATAATGTTATTCTGAATTGGTATCAAATGTCCCAGAACAAGGTATCGTCAAGGTCTATGAAAAAAACTTATCTTACGCACGACAACCGATACAAGCATGGCCAGCCGCAGGACGTTAACTAATGACTTTCATGCATATTGGAATTGAGTATTTAGTTTATGGATGATTGTTACTTGAGTGACTAACTGCTTTCATTTGGAACTAAAACCATTGACTTGAGTTTGTGCAATGCGATGAACTATCATGTGTACTCACACACCGCAATACGCGCAATGTTTGCATGGATGCAAGTTGTCGGGTTGTAATTTAATGTTGAATCGAAATACGAGCGATATTGAGTAGTGTGAGTTGAAATAAACGCTTCAAAGTAGTTATTTGGCGGTATCAAATCCAACAAGACTTGTACGTAATGCTTTTGCACATACAATTCGGCTGTCATTGGGGAAAAGCTACTAGATTATCTGTGCTGCGGACTATCGCTTTTTGAAGTACAATTTTTCATCGAAATAAACAATCGACACCGATTTATTTGTAAATGCTAGTGTTGGAAGAGTTATGCCACATTTTATACACAAAACATTATTTTGTTCCACACTTGCGCACGATGGCCTACGCAACACACATTCAGGGTCTCATTCAAGTTGAGATTGTCGATGGAACTGTAAGTGTGAAACTCACCCGGCGATCTCGAACCTATGTGTGTTACTTTACCAAATATATGTCAGAAATCCCCATCCAAACAATACGTGTGCTCCGCTATCGTCATATCCTGAATGGTTATTTCGTAACGCTTTCTTTTATTCCATAGACCACTCGGTTTCCAAAGGTTTCTTTGTCTTTGGCGCTCGTAGCTTTAATTTTGTTTCAGCTTTTCTATTAGATGAATAATTGGTACCAAAATTCCACACAATCCGAAGTAAAGTATCTGTCTTGTGCTAAGATGTTTAGTTGAAGGTATTTGCGTAATGTTTAGAATGAAAGCTTTCTTTTACTGAGTGCATGATTGGCTTTGCATGTAATCTTAATGATAGATAAGCTTTAATGGTACAGACTGATTGAATGTAATGTTTAGTGTTTTTTATTTGTTTCTTAAATTGTAAATGTAATTTAGTTTTCTCTATTTTCAATTTAGAATTGGTATTTAGTTTGCATTTTATTCGACAGGACTTAACGATTATAAAGCAAGAAGGCGAAAAACTTGGCATGCACATAAAAGGAGGACTGAACGGCCAGCGTGGCAACCCTAACGATCCTAACGATGAGGGAGTCTTCATATCGAAAATAAACAGTGGTGGAGCTGCAAGGAGAGATGGCAGACTAAAGGTAAGTCATTATAATGTTACTTTTCCCAGTATTTTGACAGACTGTAGACCTGTGCCCTAGTGAGAAACTAGTTAAGGCGCAAAAGCGCATAATGTCAAAACCATAAAAATCTTATTAATTTATGATATTTTTATCCTGTTTTAATTTTGTTGATTAGTTTAACCGCTGAGTTAATAAAATAAAGTAAAAATCGTAGTTAGATTAGGTAAGGTTTAAGATTTTATACCATTCTCACAGGCCTAAGATTAATTATCGACCTACTTTCAAATTGAGGTTGAGATACGAAGGTTGAGGGCACAAGAGCGCGCGGCAGGTCGCCCATGCGCTGGACTGACCAGATCAAAACCGCACTCAATGGTCCACTCCACGAGTGCACAAGAAAGGCTGCAGTGCGGGAGGAATGGCGACGGATTGTGAGACTTGCCACCGGACCTGGTGTGACGACCACGACCACTCTGGCAAGAGTGTAGCGACGAAGAAGAAGAACTTTCAAATTTTTCCTATACATGACGTAGTTATTAGGCGGCTTTCCGTGATCATACGCACAAACAATTTCTAAGTGACGTCATCACGACCGTAAATACGACCTTATAGACTAAGAGCTAGTGAACGCCAGACCTACGTCATTTTATAAAAGCTGAAAGTTTGTCAGCGTATGCTCCCAATATAGGATATAATGTTGGTGAATTATGAAGTTTGGGTCGTGGTGGCTTTGAGAGCTAACCTAAAAAAACTGTCTTTCAAGGAGTTGGAACTGTCAAAACTGTCTGGCTGTTGGGGAAAATACTTCTAATTATTGTCCAAATATTATACATAAAAATCAGATTTAATGGTATAACGTTAGTAGAATTACAGTCTGTTGAATATACAGAAAAAGCCACCGTAAAAGTTAGACTTACGTTATACTATAAAATCTGATTTTTATGTATAATATTGGGGCAATAATAAGAAGTATTTTCCCCAACAGCCAGACAGTTTTGACAGTTCCAACTCCTTGCCAGACAGTTTTTTTAGGGTAGCTCCCAAAGCCACCACGACCCAAACTTCATAATTCACCAACATTATATCCTATATTAGGAGCATACGCTGACAAACTTTCAGCTTTTATAAAATGACGTAGGTCTGGCGTTCACTAGCTCTTAGTCTATTATTTTACAATCAGTTCTAAATAAAAGTTCCCCTAACAGGTTGGCATGCGTCTATTGGAAGTGAACGGCGTTTCACTACTAGGCGCGACGCACAACGAGGCGGTGAACGCTTTGAGACAAGCCACCAACGCGCCTCTACACCTTGTGGTCTGCTACGGGTATACGCGCCCAGAGAAGTATACCGTAAGTTGCACTGCACTACACATTATTCCATTTCAAAATACGATCTTTAACCCTTAATTAGTCGTGCAACACAAATTACACGGTAGCATGCCTCCAGAAGACGAATGATGAATCGTGTGGGGTGTTCTTACCCCAATCGGATTCAAGCATATCATATGAGCAATCGATACTGCCTAATGAAAGTCACGCCCTTCCCGAATTTTAAAAAGGAAATAATGTAATAAAAAAGTGTATAATAATTCATGAGCTTTTATGCACTCCGCGTGACTAATTAAGGGTTGACGTAGTTCAGTGTTTGATGCTCATATTATTTAAATCTCTTATTGAAGACCACTGGTTTCTTATTTTAGCATAAACACATTAAATAATAGCCTATTTTACGACTGAGACAATATTGATTTGCACTTAGAATTTAATGTTTATTTGCATTACTTCTCAATAAATGAGAAATTAAGTCTAATCACAGTGCTTTATAAAAAAAAGTTGAATATTTCACTAGTTTGATAATATCTAAAGCTTTCTAATGCAACTGGCACAAAACACTTGCGTGTGAGTTTGGCTAGTATTAGTTAGAAAGAGATAGACAAGCGAATGTTTGCACAGACCGGTAGCGAGAGCGGGACAGCGGACACCGGCGGCTCTCTGTCTCACTCAACGTCGAGCCTGGACCGAGATGAGTCGTTGCACCATCATCAACAGGTAACTATTTTGATTTGATGCTTTTTAAAAAGGGTGGACATTGTTGTTATTTTCTGCAACCTTTGATGGTTTTGGTCGTACAAAACGTGTACCGATAAGCATCAAATATCAATAATGCCCATCCTGAAGTAAGATTGGATAACACAGTAGTTACATAGTTCGTTTGAGTTGTAAATGCCAGCTTTTCTTTAGAACCTAACTTAATATAAGTTTCACTTAAACATTTCCGTCTTATTTGCAATAGATTATTTACAACATTTTCACTATATTTCACGATTCAGTTTTTTTGTTGTTTTTCTATCACATCTAGAGCTAGAAAAAATATCCAACTCACATTGTCCATAAGCACCACATACAATATATTATTTTAATTATTACAGGAGCAACACTTCCAACAGGATTTAGTTGAGTTTGAACATGAGAAACAAGTCGCAGAAGTAAGGGAGAAGTCTACTCCTGAAAAGGTATGTTTACACAATACAATATCTACTAATACGATTTGTATGTCTTTTACAAAAAAATAATTGATAAAATATCAATCCGGCTCGAAGGACCAAATATCAATTTTATAATCCTATCATTATACGGACAACAGATGCTAAAAAAATTGGTCTTCTTTGCCTCTTTAGGCTATGCAAAAGGATTTATTGATGATAAAGAAATTAAAACTTGTCATTCACTCATGTCAAAATAACATAGATTTTTACTGACACGTTTTCTTGTATACCGTACGACCATAAATTACAATAGATTTCGACCCTTCTTGTGTAGAAGAAACAAAATTCAATAGGAAAATAAATAGACCAGATCAGTTGCTGTTCTGTTGACTGTGTACTTCACAATTTCTTTTTCTTCTTTGACTCTTGACTAAATCACAATGTTAAACAGGTGCTAGATATAGTCCACGCCGTGGAAAGCATGGCCCTAGAGCCGGCGCCGCCCACGTCGCCGGAGCCCCACCACAAGACGACCACCGTCGTCATGTCCAAACACACCCTCCAACCTCAGGTGAGATTATTACACAGCCACCGATAACGCTGTGATTTGGTGGTCGCGAACAATGGAACATAATTAGGTGGTCACTTAACTAACCACCTGATAAAAGTTGCACGATGATCTTGTTTATAAAACTTACGTGATCAGTAACACTACCCACCTTATTAGACACTGTTTAAAGTGATAATTGTTGTTAAAAAGTTAGTTAAGTTTAACCGCCTCTGTGGTCTAGTGGTAAGACCACCTGCTTCAGACGCAGAGGTCCCGGGTTCGATTCCCAGTGGGGGCAGATTTTTCTGTTCGGTTTGGTTGGTGGTAGGGCTTGTTCTAAGTCTGCCTTGCTAGCTACCACCATCTTACCTAAGTCTGTCGCCATAATAACAATTTTAACAGCATTGTTGTGTTCCGGCAGTTAAGAGGTAAGATAGCCAGTTCCTCTGTGGTTGAGGATTCCGGGTGAAGCTCGCTTCCACCTTCGGCCTGATCATCACTTACCATCAGTTGAGATACAAGCCAAGAGCTTCCTCGTAGTGAATAAAAAAAAGGAAATAAATAAATAATCATAAAATTATTGGGTCGAATATTGACTGTGCTTATGTTCCATTGTTGGTGATAATACACTATCAAGCCTAGTCTTCGCTAACGTGTATATTTTAGCTCTCTTTTGTAATGCTAGCTAGCTAATTTATTTTTCTAATAGTTTACCATCTACATTACTAAATTAGTAACTATAAAGTAACTTTATAGTATGCATCTGTTAAAAAGAAAGACTAGGCTTATTTTATTAAACTTAAATGATTAAAACTTTTTTCTTTGTTAAAACCAATGTGCATGATTATAAATAAATTTCTTTGTTTTAACTAAAACTTTTACAAATAAATAGCCTCTTGATACTTTTTGGAAAGCTTCTATTATGAGTACATTATAAAAATTCAGCATGACAATAAATTGTATAGCTTTGTATAGTATTCGAATAACTTTTTAGTAACGAGGAACATGCGCCTATGCGATGTCCTCTTGCACGGTTCTCTCTTATTGATAGCATGCACTATTGTATATTTGTAGTATAAAAGTATAAAGTATTGCTTGCATGAAAATATACTTAATTTATATCGATTTATATTACTCTAAGTATGTTATATTTAATACTTTATCTTCCAAAATAAATGTTTAGTATATTTTACATAAAGCCTTATTATGTAGATGGTTTCGGAAGGGTAGCACGAAGAATACCTACCTATCTCACCTGTCTACTCGTACTTCAAACTATTTTCTGTTTAGGTTTGTAAATGGATCGTAGACTATGTGTATTAGGAATTACTTGCATGAATCCTTTCATAAGTTCTATCTATTCAAATACGAAACTGAACTATTGATGTATTAGGAATTCTAAATATGTTTTTTGAAATAGTGAAATAAATGGTTGTATTATTTTCAGTTCTTGTAGCTTAGATCAATGTCGTCGTGTGTTAGCTTATACCAGTCATATCTGTATAGAAAACAGACTGAGCTGGGTTGCGAATAAATATATTGACTTTGCATATTACCTCCATTGCAGAGTGCAAACCCAGAGGAATCGGAGGGAAACACATAGTACATCGGTTATAAGTTCTGTCCAAAATGTAAATGTAAAAGATATATTATAGTTTAATGGTTGATGGAATGTATGGATAAACATTTGTCCAGTAAATCTTATATAAGACGTAATAGAGCATGGAGTTGAAAAGCGGGCAGTTTGTGTTACGATAATTGTGTGTTTATTACAATATTATTATTGTATCTATTTTAGTAAACTTCAATAAGAATATTCATCTAGTTCAAACATATTTTTACTGGAATTATATTAAATATCATTGGAAATATTATTTCTTCATGGGTGTAAATACCATTTTCTGTCTATATCTACATCACATTAGTGGTATTATAAATGTTAAAAACGAAATATATTTTAATAAGGAATTATTAATACATGTATATTATACTCGCCTATGAGTAAAACTTATATTGAAGAAATATTTTCATTTCTCCTATTGATCAATATGATACTTAGAATGATTTATTTACTACATTGAAAACAATATTTTTTATTATTTAGCTGAAGAAACATATCGATGCTTTATAGCTTCAAAATATTTGTTTAATAGATCGTTCATTAATTTATAAATAATGAATTATTATATTGTAAATAATATTATTGAATGAATCAATTTACCGTCTCAAAGTTTTACATTTATATGACAAAATAAACAATTATGTTGAACAATTTTACAATGATCTAACTATTGATCAACCTAGGTCTAAAATTTGGTTATTTGAGCTAATATTCGTGTCTGTGTATCAATTTATACATGTGTGACATTGTACTAGTATGGTTTTTTGATGTACTCTGCGACTAAATATTACCTAATTGACTGTTAGTTTATAGTTACATAATATTCTCTCTAAAGCTGTTACAGTATGATAATATCCTATGACTATTGTATCAATATTGTGCGTGAAATAGTATATTTTTGTCTTGGTGTATTGGAACCCTCATAATAATGAAACTGGTTAGAGAACTTGTATTGCCTACTGCTCATTAATAGTCTGACTTATAATATTATAATCACCTACTTATTCCCGAATGACCAATAACGATTGTAGTTTGTATAATATTTAACCTACCCAAGTATTTCAAGTACACTTTGAATGACGTTTCATATTTACTCTAGGTGTTTTATAACCTTTGCTACAAAGACCAATTTTATAACTATTAACCATGTCCTGCTGTCGAACATTGTAATTCATACGCAATTAGCTTGTCAATGTATAAGTTTAACAGTTATTTATTACTTGTTCCTTTAGGCTTCTCATGTTTAATTGTTCTTTCCCCTGTGTTGTTCTACCAGCTTAATATGCCATTTCATATTTTGTGACGCATCCTTGCTATTTTAACTTATAAACATGGCCAAAAATATAATTACTTCGGTATATGTATTTTTCCTAAACTTCTTACTGTTTGCGTCAATACTAATCGTTAAATTACGTAAGTTGTGAAATCTGGCCAAATTTACTATTTCAACTGCCAATTATTTTAAAAATTTGATAAAATTATTGAGTGTAATTAATCATTATTATTAATTTTTAAGATACGAAATTATTCTAATTGACGTTATGTTTTAGTGTTGCATTTAAATACATGATGTTTCAGAAATTATATTTCTTTTAATTTATACGCATGTTTTAAGAACATTTATTTTGGAAGATTTCTTTTCCCAATTAAGCTTAGTTATTGTTTCGCGCCAGACTTTGTTTTCCAGTTCTATGACCGGCCAAATTCAGGTCTATGTTTTCGTGCAAGTAGCTTGGCTAATGCTAAAGTGTGAGATGGCGACGGTGTATATCTTGTATATTAGAGGCGTCTCGCACTTTACACTTCGGTTTGGTTGTATAGCTAAAGTATTCGTTGCGTAAGTATCGCAGTGCAGTACAATGTGTTGGTTTGGTCAGTCGTCTAGTTCGCAAGCGGCTCCCCCCTCGCCGCTCGCGGTGTTCACTCAGCAGAAGGTGAAGACGCCGCCCCCCCACACCCCGCCTCCCCCGGAAGACGCCGGCACGCCCGTCGACCCGCCCCGCGCGACGCCAACCCGCCCCACGCTGCCGCCGCCGCCTCCCCCGGCCAAACAGAAACCACAAGTGCCACGAAAGCCACAGACGAAGCGAGTTAGTTTCATCCAGGAACAAGACCGCGAACCCGCGAAACACTCGTTGTCGACGAACGAACCGAAAACGAACCCTCGAATGTTGCATGAAACGCATGAGGAAACAAGAGAACCCGTAATCGACACTAACGATGCATGCGCGGGTGTTAGCTCTTTACTAATCCGAAACCGCCCGCCGATAGCCGAGCCGGAGCTCTCGAAACCCGTCCCCCGAGCGAATCTCGTTCTTCCCGACGATCACATCATCCCCCCACCGCCTTTCTTTGATACGGACGTAAGTGACACTAGTTATAACGACGATTTGTTAATGCCACCTATTACGATAGTCCCTCAAAAATTGATTCTCCCCGAGCCCGTCGTAGCGGAAACATCCATGCAGTCTTCTACTACGACGAATTCGCCAGAAAGCGAAGTGCCCCCGCCGGTCAATTATTTCGCTTACCCAAACCCGCAACCGATCATAGACGACCGTGCTCGAACAGCCATTATTGCAGAAGTGCCATCGCAACAAGTCTTCCGTGCGTTTGAATATCCTTCTCTCAACAGTGAAGATTATTATAATGAATTATCTGTCAGTCCCGGCGGAGAACCAGATCCGCCTGAACTTTTGCATGTCCAATATAAAACTCTTCCGATAGTTTCACACGTCCCTCACAGTCCTTGCAATTTGCACCCCGACAGATCTTACTACGACGATGGGCCAGGTCCAACTCCCATTCACAACTCGTTAAAAGATTTGAGAGTCAAAAATATGTCACCTGGTATGGTTCACTCGACTACATATCCGCCCATTCAGCCCTTCAATCCATATCCATCTCTAACTACGGTTGCGGGGACATACAACCCATACACCTGCACTGTCCCCATCAGCACAACTGAGAATAGCAGAAGTCATAAAGCGCAAGTGTCCCCCTCTCTCGCCAGCGCGAGAAGGGATATAAACGCGAACGTCACTGAGGCCGTCCCGTTGCACGCGGGCGACGTGTGCAAAAGTGGTCCGCCAGAAAGAAGAGTCCATTTCGGCGACGTGACGACTGCGCACGACGATGACGCAATATCGCATAGTTCGGACCTCCTGAGGGAAGGCAGTTCCTCGCCCGCATCCGCCCAGAAACCCGCATGGAGCAGCAAAATCAAAGCCTTCGCCATCGGCGAGGTAAACATCAATGTACGGCATTACCCTCACACACTCGGCTTTTTTTGATTGTGTTCGTCGACAACCCAGAATACTGACAACATACACATCGATCATCCGACCACATTCCCCATATTTTTGTTATTTACCTAATTTGATTCGTCGTTATTAACTTGCAATTACTTATATTTTGCATGTTTGATTTATTTATTTACTTATGCAATTTTATTTATTATTTTAATATGAATAACAACTTGACTGCATGGGTGTTGAGCCTGGAGATGGGAATTTCATGGCTTGTAAATATCATGAGCTTTTTTTTAAATTATCGTTTATTCATGTTGATATTCACAAAATGTCTAACCGTGAAACACTATGTTGATGTTAATGAATATATTCTTTAGGCTTCCCCGCCTCATTCGGCAAATTTTGTGAAGGCGTCTGTCAGCGATAAGAAAAAATTCTTCGAAAATGCAATGGAAGAAAGTCACAAGCCATCGCCAAAACCAGGTAAGTTTTCTCGTCATTTCTCTTGCTTACTAATTCTCATTTTACAGCGTCCGATCAATCTTAAAATCAGCAATAATCTGCTGTATGTTTTCGATTGGAACATAGATTAGGATTCATTTATCTCCGTAACGTCATACGAATGTATCTATTTACATTGCTATGTAGCGTCCGCGAAGCTAGCGCGACGTTCATGACACCATCATTTAGAGGACGCACGTCATTTAACAATAAATGCCACTACATTATCTGATCTATTAATTTATCACTCGTATCGCCACCGCAGAACGAGTATTCACATTCCTGTCAGCGGATGAGGTGGAGAAATTGAAGCAAGAAGAGGAGAGGAAGATGGCCACGCTGTCACGTGCGGAGCTCCGCTCGTGGTCCCCGGGGGAGGACCGCCAGAGCGGAGACAGCTCGCACTCCGACGACGAGCCCTACGAGAATGGCCATAGGTAACATACCTTAGGTCTTCTTTAGTTCCCTTTAATAACTGAAGGAAGAAAGGGAGAAGAAGATGACTGCGTTATCGCGCACGGAGTGGAAACAGCTCGCATTCCGAGCCCTACGAATACGATATGGCCATAAGTAACTATGAAATAGTGATAATAGCCTGGTTCTAGCAGAGTAGCATAGCATTAGCATCACCTCCATGCCTCCATTCTTTCCGTGGATGTCATAAGGCCCGGTTTCCACCAAGGCAGAGCGGAGCGGAGACGAGAGGATTGTAAACTGTGCATAGCTGTCAGCTTGTCTGTTTATTGCTGTCTATGAAAGGAAAACGCACTCCGCTCCACGCCGCAGCCGCCGCTGTCAAATTCTTTAGAAAATTGAGTTTGCCCGACATCTCCTCTCTTCTCCGCTCGATCCATTTCTGGTGAAGTGGAGCGGAAAGGAGATAACAGCTCCGAGCTGTCATCTTGACAATTTATGCTAGATTTAACGTCTACATGTAGACGTCAGCGTACAGTACTATCATCACAATATTCAAACTTTTCTTTTTTTCTAATTAAAGTTACTCCCTGGGCGGCGTAAGTCCGTCAGCGAAGTCTCAAAGGAGACGCGGCGGCGAGGGCGAAGACGCGGCCACGCGCGCCGCTCGCCGCGCGGCCTGGAGAGCTGCCAGGCTACGCTCCTTGGAACAGGTATATACTTACAAAGCTACGAGAAAATCAAACATTCTGAACTATTCATAGTTAAATCTAAGATTGGTGTTTTCTTGTGACTGACACAGCTGGAACGTCAAGCTGTAAGTACCTACTGATGCCCGTAATCCTGAATCCTGATACATAAAGTTAGCCTATTAATTTAACACAGGTACGACTGTACTCAGTGTTGCACTATCAAATGCAATTGACGCGCCTCTATGCCAGGGTTTTTATGTTCCTGGTCGGGCTATACTGCCTAATAGATGTCGCCTTTGAGTGAGGCCCGTTGTCAGCCCAAAAAATAAGTCAGAATGACCTTATATCTCGCGAGTCTACATTAGTCGACTCATTCATTTTGTGGCTGCTTGTGATTTTAGAGATTTATAGAAATAATCATATACTTAAAGCTACAGCTAGCTTACAATGTATCGTTGTATTTATATTTGTCTTTTGATAGCCATATCGTTGAAAAAACCAAATTGTATCCGTATAACTTTATACTACTAAACATACGGCTCTTTTTTTCATGTCATACCATGCAATAAAACATTATGACTATGTAAATAGAACAGGTTTTCAGTAATGTTTTTTGCCCCAAGTGCTATTTGTAGCTATTGTAGTACGATCACTATTAAATGCCAAATATGTTTAATCATTTGAAATGCAGCTTGAATAACTCTTAATTATATTTATTTTTCAGGAGGCAATCGAGTCACAGAAAGTGATAAAAAGCCTCGTGGGCCCAGCCAATGAGATCATTGGCGAAGTGCCACCAAGGGACAAATCTCCGTCCGAGGTAAAATCTTATTCCTTTATCTCTTTTAATTGAATGTTGTCATGTTAAAATTACTAAGCCATCTACGAACAATCATTACTTGTTGGGAAAAAGTAACAAACTACACACAAGAGTGAACTAACTATAGATTGATTTATGAACTGTTATTTTTTCCCAACAAATGGTTAGAATGTACCCTTATAATCCAATAACTTATGTTGTTTGTCCGTAACATTTAACATCGAATGGTCATTAACACTGTACTTGGTGTTTCATTACTACTTTTCTAATAGAGATTCCCTCCATACTATTTTTGTTTGTTTGTTTCCTCATATTTTTCACAAAAACATTGTTTTGTTAGAATTTTCATTGTCTGTTAAAAAATTATGTCTCTGTTAGCATACTGGCAAATGTGTTGATTGAATCTAACATAATTAATTGTGGGTGAGGATATATGTCGCTTGGCTGGCGTAATCCGTCCATAATGGGTTGTGAATGTCAAATTGGCTTTACAAATTATAGAAATGGCCTCTACCACGTATCGCATTACGTACAAAACCGGGGCCTATACTAGCGGTGAAGGAGAAAGAAAAATTGTTAGACGAGCGCATTACACTTCGCACCGAGGAGTATGTGTGCCCCACCACCGGCGAGACTAAAGTGCGGACAGTCGAATACATTGAGAAAGTGATTGAGAAAGAGGTACGCGTCGCACTGTACATTGCGCTACATAGTTGTTACGAGACGCTGTACACATAAGCAATGCCGTATCGTGTGTGGTTTTATTATTTATATCTTTGTATTTTACAATACGCTTAGCTTACGCGCAATTAGACGCTGCTGACTATTCGACACGATTTTACACCGAGACTGTTTTTGACTTACGACTCTTTACAACTGACCCGACTTGACAGAACGTCCGTGTATAAACACTCGATTATTAATATTGCGGGGCCTTATAAATGCACTAAACGATATACTTGGCACAACGTGAAACACCATTTCAAAGTAGCATAGAAATGTAGATGAACTTGTAGAACATACACTCACACGTCACTAATTTTACTGTGGTTTTCAGGGCTTTCTGTACAATACCTACAATTTAGATTTTCTTTATTATACAATGCAATATGTAGGATCTTTCAACCAACTAGAAGTACAAAATTTTATATAAATATTTTACGTATTGATATTTAAATTTGTGTAATTATTTTACACAGTGTGTTGCATGATTGTGGCATGGCATGCTAATATAATGTTGTGTATCATTTGTCAGACGATACCGGGATTCTAGACACGGGATCTTCACACTGAACACAGTAAATGGTTTGTTGCCTTTATCTCAATGTATTTATTTTAGTTTAATAGCCGCTTAACCGCAACGCAAATTAACGCTTGTAGAATTGCAAACTAATTGTAACAATTTGTGTTGTTTTGATGTTTTTGTTTTGTTTCTCATGATCGTATTGATCGAATGACCTCATTTTGTGCTAATCGCTCGATCATATATCGGGCTTGAAGTGTGTGTGTTTTCACAATCGATTGATGATTAAATTAATAAAAGAGCTATTTGGAGTTCAACCATAAACTTTAGCGATTAAGAAATCTATAACTTCGTCGGGGTTTCTCAAAAAGAGGACTGGGCAATGGATCTTCTTAAAATAGATTGTATTACAGTGTAGCTGATTGTGCTTATGGTTGAGCTTAAAATAGCATCTAATGAGTATACTCAAGTTTTCCATTCATGTAAGATCATTAAAACTTTTTGAATCTTCGTTTGGCTCGAAAATCAAAAATCAAAACCCCCGTGGCTCAGTCATGTATAATCATGTAAACGTAACTAACCCACATCATATAGCGATCACCGCTCTCTCCACTCTTCCATATCCATTCGCACCAAGCCCTTCACCCCAACAGGTATTACATGTTCGATTTCGACAGGTGGAGACAACGCAAGAGAAAATTATATCATTGGAATTGACCACTAGTCCGAGTAGCGAGACGGCGCCAGACCTTGACGACGGTGGGATGAGTTTAGGGGAGGTCGACGGGGCCGAAACCTCGCTCCAACCCGACATAGTTCAAGTCGTCAACCCGCTATTGGACGGCGGCGCCGGTCGCGTCACCACCATACCCGTGGGCCCTTCGCAACGCCTCACCGCATACACCGACCAACCGCAGTAGATCTCCGCACATCGCACATGATAGACTAAGAGCTAGTGAACGCCAGACCTACGTCATTTTATAAAAGCTGAAAGTTTGTCAGCGTATGCTCCCAATATAGGATATAATGTTGGTGAATTATGAAGTTTGGGTCGTGGTGGCTTTGGGAGCTACCCTAAAAAAACTGGCTGGCAAGGAGTTGGAACTGTCAAAACTGTCTGGCTGTTGGGGAAAATACTTCTAATTATTGCCCCAATATTATACATAAAAATCAGATTTTATAGTATAACGTAAGTCTAACTTTTACGGTGGCTTTTTCTGTATATTCAACAGACTGTAATTCTACTAACGTTATACCATTAAATCTGATTTTTATGTATAATATTTGGACAATAATTAGAAGTATTTTCCCCAACAGCCAGACAGTTTTGACAGTTCCAACTCCTTGAAAGACAGTTTTTTTAGGTTAGCTCCCAAAGCCACCACGACCCAAACTTCATAATTCACCAACATTATATCCTATATTGGGAGCATACGCTGACAAACTTTCAGCTTTTATAAAATGACGTAGGTCTGGCGTTCACTAGCTCTTAGTCTATGACATCGACATTGCAACACTATCCCGCGACTCGAAGTCGAAAACGAACTCGATAGTAGATTTCTTCAACGAAACGAACAGCGACATGTCACTTAACGAGTTTCCATCTACTTTATGTATTATGAACTGTGATAATAACTTTAGAATTCCACCGACTTCTTGTGTTACATAATGGGGCGACTTGAAGAAATCCACCAACGAGGTACATTTATTATGCATTTTATTATTATCACAATTTTTATTTTTTTATTCTTATGATTTTGCGACGGAGATTTTAGAATTACGATAAGTAACTTTCTATTTTTAAATAGATCATTATTCTTGGAATACTTTACGTATTTAATTTTAATGATGTTTTTCATTCCGTGCAAGTTTTAATGTTTGACTGTAGATGATGCTGTACCTGCTATGAAAGTTAGGGGATATGATTGATGCTTCGCAACCTTAACATAAGGGTGCGAGTACATGAAGGATATTGTATTGTAAATACCATCGATTTATCGCAGTATTAAAGCTGTCGGCTCATTGTAAGTGTACAAAACGTTGGCATCACATGGTGACAGGCAACATCGGTAAACTAAACTTGTCTTATTTATAATAATTTCTTAGTTTACTTTTAAATCTACATGTGCATTGTTATTAATTCGTGCAGTATTTGTGTTTACTGGTGTTCTAGTATTTTTATAATTTAATAATTTAGCGTTTTTAGTTTCTATATGTATGTGGTGCCTTATTTTTCTCAAATGGATTCTATGCAATGTTCTTATTTTATTATTTAAATGTTACATTTTAATCAGCAATATTTGAATTTTATTTTATTTCAGTGGCAATATAATTTGTGTACTGCTGTACAAAATTAATTTAAATTGTTGCATTTTAACCAGAAGCGAATAGCTGTAAAAAGTGAAAATTGTTTATCCTATCTATCGTCATTAATCTCATCAAAATGTATATTTCCGCTGTTGAATGTATGGAATTGTATTAGCGTTTGATTCATATTTAAATGGATGAATTTCGGTGTAACGATTGAAAGAATGTTTTTTATGTGTGTCCTTTATACATTTCTAAGGCTCTGTAGCGATATGTGAATTGTAAACTAATGAAAATATTGTATGTTTGTCCCAATTAAATGGTTTAATATATATTTTAATAAAATTACCAGATTCTTTCATTTCCATTCTACGTTACATTATAAAAAACATAGCTGGAAACATAAATTGTAATAATATATTGAAACACTATTTAAACAGTTATCATACTAATAAGAACAACAAAAGTATCTTATAAATAACTAACACATTGAACTAATACTGCTTTAAACACTGCCTTTATTTCTTTGGAGCGATAATGCCCTCCAGTTGCGCCTAGAAAAGAAAAGTAAAAATTACATTACACGCACGCTACATTTTCCGCTAAAAAGTTGCAAAACCCGCGGCTCTCACCAAACGCGCAATAAGACACGCTTACTAAAAATAATACCTATGCGAAAAGCGAAAAAAGCTAATCTGAAAGAACAAAAATAAAAAATTTACTGGGCTCGTCATCGAAGAATAGAGAAATATGTAAAAGATGCCGATAGTGACGAATTGTGTATGTTGCCTTACCTTCAGTTGGGCATTGGTCTTCTTCAAAGCGAGCAATTCCTCCTGGTGACGTTTCTCTTCGGCTGCCCTGAGCTCGGCCGCTCGACGCTCCAACTGTTCAGTCTTCTGTTTCAACTCCATGCACTGCTTCTCTAACGATGAACGTTCTGCTTCCAACTTTGCTACTTGGTCCATAAGGTCCGATTTGCCTTGCTCTGACTGTTGAAAATGATCAAGGATTAAGGTGATAGAACTTTGTCACATTGAAAATCAAATCATGATAGTGAATTAAAAAATTGCGTGAGTTTTTGCGAGTCCACGTCTACTGTTATGTAATGTTCAAACAAGACCCCTTATTTTATCAAAATTAATTCAGAATTTTTTACGTGACAAAGAAAAACTCATTTTATTTTGAGTCTGACCTGTAATGCTTTCCTCATACCAAAAGCGATGGAACTGCAGTAGAGGGTTTGATAAGCTTCCATCGTGATCCTAGCTTCATCCCGCACCCTCAGCAGTAGCAGGCCTCGTTCACCACAGTTTATCGTCACCTGAAAATAATAATCAGAAAGAAATTCACACACTGACATTGTTCCACCACTGATCAGATCTCGTGCATGCAAGGTTGTAAAGGAAATATTTTACCTACTTTCCATCTTTGTGGCGTCTTCTATGGCCCGTTATGTCTCTCGACTTCAAGTCTAGATATTTCTTTTTTGCAAAGCTGTTACAAATTAAATAGCCGGGGATAGAAGTCGGTGGAAGGTTGAAGAGGAGGTCTATGTTCGAAGACGAACCCCAAAGGCTGCTATAGGTAAAGATTACATTAATCACAAACGTTTCACCTGACGAATGAGCTCATCAAAGCACTGCGTGTAAAGCTGCCTGCGCACAGGACAGATGCCGGTCTCCCTGGCTTGTCGCTGCTGCAGGCGAGTATCCAGCATCTCCTGAAGATTGATCACGTCCAGCCGGGTCGCTGGAGTCGATGATATCTGGAGAAAGAGGTAGGACATTAATATCTAGAGAAAGAGGTGGGAAGTCCACTGATTGGGTTTTTAGACTGTGGATCCAGGCTACACAGAGTTTGCAACCCTGAAAATGAGAGGTTGACTAAGTACTCCCATATAGAAACGGGGAGGACGTTGTAATAAATTCATTGAGATGAATTGAGAAATCTTAGGTTTAACTTCTGCCTATTGAAATTCAGAGGTATTTACCACTCGTAGCACTTAAATTTTGCCCATACACAGCAATAATCACAAGTTGTCTTTCTCAAGAAGATAACCAACCTTTTGAGTCCATATTTGGCCGTCTTCTTCCCATTCTTTGGGCGGTAGGATAGCATTCAAGATCTCCTCTGTTTCTCGTTTGGCTTCGGTCGGCACGCACGGTTGAGCTGCAGTCGCTCCGCGAGGTGACGACTAAAATTATATAACACATAATTTAAACCTATAAAATAACTAATTTAAATTATAATATTGTGTAAATTCATAAAATTGTAGAGCGAGGAATAAAGTAAGTACTTACAGCTTTCTCCGGCTGCTTAGTTACTAATACAGGGTTGTCATAACGAACTAGTGTGTCTTCAGCGGACACCGGAGCCCTTTCACCCATTTTATTTTATGCTAATTTACGCTAGAAACTAATAAACTAGAAATATTTATTTACTGCAGTGACAATGACACAATCTGTACACAATAATATTTGCAACCATAGCAACTGTCCGTTGCTTAGCAATCCGGCAGAGCCGGCTAAAAAGTTTGAATTGGTTTGAAAGTACCCTAGATTATAGAACTTTGAAAAATGCATGGTTTATTTCAGGAATATTCGGGTAATTAGGTAGTTGTTCCGTTACTGTATTTGTTGCGGCGCATTTTCAGAACTCGCTCTAAAAAGGTAAGAGCCTAAAGATCTGTTAAGAGTTGTAAATATGCCACATAATGCCAGCTTTTAAACATAAAATATTACGCTGAAGCAGAATTTGATTTTCTTGGATTACCACTATCATTATCATGTCAAAACAAAGTTACGCAATAAAATATAAGGGTACCTTACTAGAATAGAATATGCAATAAAATGGCAATAGCTCCTTAAAAGTTATATTTATTTCACTAAAACACTGTTAGGTTCAACATTGCAATCAGTATCAACATTTTTGCTAACTGTACAAGTGTACATCACAGAATGCAATCTGTACACATGACATCTTACACAAAAGCTACTCTTACGCCCATATTCACAAACGATGCTTGCTTGAGTTAAGCAGCAAATCGAACGCACAGTGAGGTTCATGTGTCACCCTGTGCGTCCACGCGCACTGTGAGACCTCATAGTAATCTTTGTGAATACGGGCGTTAATTTATAGCCAAAGAACTATCTAAAAATCTTATAAACTAGATATTTTTCATTGAGAATCACTACTGGAACTGGAACTTGAGTCGGTGGACATGACCTCCACGTCTTCTTGTGTGTGAGAGTCTTTGCCGCGCCCGTCGATTGCCACGGAGTTCCCTCCGCCTACCGACATGTGTAGCTCGCCAGATGGATGCCAAGTAAACTGGTTTGTAGTAGGAGCAGGAACTGAAACAAAAACAAGGCACATGTTATTTTACTTTGCCATAAACTTCGATAGTCAATTGTTAACTTTGTGTTCAAAGCCCTTTGTTTTCATAAGTGTTAAATGTGAATTTGTGAAAAGTTTTAAAACCAATTATAAATAGTCTTGTGTATTACTTCTAACTAAAAATAGTGTTGTGTATTACAACTTAGCTTCAAACAAAGAAGTGTTAAAATAGGTAGGTTTCCTAATAATTGGTTTGACCTGCCTTTGTGTAAACTACAAAATGTGGAAGTAATTATAGTTTAACAACAGTATTCTATAGTCTATTCTGTGAACCAATACAGTTCTGTTTTAGTGAGTGTAACAGTTAATAACTTTATAAATTAAGTGCAGTTGCAATTATTGGATATTGAGGAAGTTGCCAGCAATTAGATTATGTATAACATTAAATAAGGGGAAACCCAAACATGCATTATGAATAACTTCATTAAAAATGTGTCATTATTTAGTACCAAGAAAACTTATTTGTGAGTAATAAAAATTCTTATACCTCCGCCAGTAGTGATTCGGTGTAGCTCATTGAGAGTAGACGGAGTGTGGCCATTGACTGGCATGTCGCTGAGTCTGCCGATCATTCCCAGCCTCATTTCCAGATCTGTGGGGTAAGGGCGGCGAGGGTCTCCTGGCTGCCATGACAGTGGTGCACTAACAGCATTTGAAGCACTTATCCTGTTGGAAAATTAAAGGTGAGATCAATGATTCCAAACCAAGTACAGGTGACAGCACTTCAAGCCAAACAGTGAGCTATCTCAAGCACATGTGAGGCGTCTAGTTTCAAATCCCGCTAAAACGATTTTGATAAGATTTCGAGAAATTGAAAAAAACCGCTTATCCATATAGCTTTGGCCTTAGGCAAAAAAAAATATGATACGAATTATTATTGTCATCTGGCAATACTAAAAGTAATTGCTATTTATCTTTAAATTAAATATAATTTGAATTATAATGAAAACTATTTTCATTTTGGCGTATTTTGTTACGAACATTCGGTTTTAATGGGATTTGAAACGGACATGTTGTATTTTAGCGGAATTTGATAAGAGCAAATTATGAAGCAAGCACGTTATGAAAAAATCTCCATACTGATTTCGCAGTCACGCAACCAAAATACCGTGCTACCATTGGTCAATCAACTTTTAGAGGGTTTTGAAAGAAACGGACGGCGTTTTAGCGGAGTTTGTAACACAAACCGAATTTTAAGTGCTAGTTTAGTAGTCTTTTAGTGTATTTTGATCGAAAATAATTAAACAGTATGATGAAAAAATTGCAGTAGCATCATTTAGAGATATAAACAGAAATTAGTTGCAGGAGCGTTTTAGCGGGTTTTGAAACTAGACGACTCATGTGTAATTCTAGACTATTATCAATAAAAATTATGAATGTGCTGTCAGCTGTACATAGGTTGATATTACATACAGTAGGATATTATGATTATTATGGACCATTTTGGGAACTGCAAATATTACATGATTTTGGCATTAATAAATATTTTAGAAGAGGGCCTTCTAATATTTACCTGTGAGCAAATTTGATCAAATCTTCTGATGAAACAGGCCGTTTCCTTGACTTCACAATAGATGCAAGTTTCTGACGCGCTTGATACAATGATGTGGCTAAGATTTGTTCAGCGTCTTTTAGTTGCCTTTGTAAGTGATGAATGTCTTGATCCTATGTTATAAAAATGAAACGATAGATATTCAACAGCTTTTTATAAACAAGATATCAAAGAAATAGGGACTGTAGGGTCAATAACTACCTTATTATCCACTTCAGCTTTCAGTTCATTCATTTTCTGTTGAATTTTGGCTTGTTCCTCAGCAAGCTCTAATGTCTTTTTGAGTTCTACATCCTTTGCAAGCAGTAAATCCGTCAACTGTGCGTGATCTGCAGCTGACAACTTTTGAGATTTTGGGGCTATTGATACTTCTATCATTTCCCTGAAATAGTAGTAAATATCACAATATTGTTATTACCTTACGCATCAAGCAATATGAATCCAAGCCTTCAATAAGAATTAATGTAAAACCTTAGATTAGTGTAAAACACTCACTTTGCTATTAATTCGATATCATCGATCAAGGAGAGCAAGCGATCCTTCGTGCTGAGATGGGATGCCATAGTAGTAAAGATCTCAGACCTTGCTTAACTTTTGAATGTAATAATTGTATTAAGTTAAGCTTTTATTGATTTAAATGCACATAGTTTACAATTTCCAAATCAAACCAAAATTGTGTTGGCTAATGACCATAGAGCAAAGTTAATGACGTGTGACAGTTAACTGACATTGACAGCTGTATTGATACAGATTAAACACAGTCTTTTTAGTCTATGATGAAGCAGAAAAAATATTAAAATGTGAACTTTTTGAACCAATCTTTATAAATCTATACCATGTTTAAATTAATTTTAAAAATCTTACGGAACTCAGGTACTTAATTTCCTTCCATAATTTCCTTCTTTGTTTAGAAATTTTCAGTTAGGCAGGCAGGCAGGCATGATTAAATGACAGATTCCATCCGACTCTATGACTGACTATTAAAATGCTTCATCATTGTTTTCATAGATGGTGCTGTTTGTGTTTTAGATCACGATATCATTTGATTTTACCGTCTAAGCTGAATACACATTTAGCTGAGTAGTTTATATTCGTACTTAGTTGTGTTTATTATCCTTCACACAGTATAAATTTTTGAAGACGCTTTAGGCATGCATGCCATTAGTATGCTTGAATACGTCACAGAAGACCCGCTCATAAGGCGTTTTAAATTAATAAAAAAATTCCTCTTGATCTCTTCTAGGTACTAAAAAGTTACGTGTAACTCTTACACATTACTTATTGAACACTTGTGTGAAAATAACATTATTTAAATTAAGTTAAGGTTAGCTTTTTTACAAGTGTATCATTCTTGTAAACAAGTTACTTATAACTACTAACTAAAGGTACCTAAGTATGTAGCAAAATTTTTTTGCAGATATTTGTCTGACGGTTTCGTTACGTTACGTTCTCTAAGATCTAATGATCATGACGCTATCACCAGTAAGTAAATTTTGTATATAAACCCCTTTTGTTACAAAGAGGGTAGGACTTGTGGGACTTGAAGTTACTGACCCCTAAGAAAACTTGCATTACAACTATTAGAATAGGCTCTGCCTGCCTAGTCTAAAAATAACACTAACCTGTGGCACAATGTACGCCCCGGAATGTGGGTAAATAAAAAGGTTTACTTACAGGTTTACCACAGTTAATGTCCGTAATTTCGGATCTTTGCCTACCTACCAAGACTACCATACCAACCTACCTAGATAGGTAGATCACTTACATAAGTATTATGGGCTAAGTACCAATAGAACCAAAAATATAACTTTGTAGATAGGTATCGCTGAACTGAACACTATATTAACTTAAGTACCTCTTACCTACTCCTAGTTACTTAAGTCTATGAATGAGTACCTACTTACTTTAATCAATGCAGTGGCGGCGTAGCATAGGTTGGCACCCGGGGCGGCACCCCCCCNNCCCCCCGTCATAATATAAATTAGCCTACGGCACCCCAAAATGGCACCCCCCCTGTCATGACATCACGACCGTCCTTGCCATGCAGATGCGTCAGTGAGTACTAATCTGCGCGACTTTGTCACCCCCTGATGCTTGGCACCCGGGACGGACCGCCCCCACCGCCCCCCCCCTTACGCCGCTACTGGATTACTGTACTATACCTACTAATCAATGATTAGTAGGTACAATTTCTAGTAGGTATTATTATGGTAGGTAGGTACTTTAAGTAGGTACATGTCCTGTCCAGTTGCTAATCCGTCCACCTGAGAATCTGTCCAGTTGAGAATCTGTCCAGTTGCGAATAAGTCCACTTGCTATGGAGGGGTATTATGTAGGTACGGGACTATTCCCACCTCTCGTTCCCACCACTGAAACTCCTGTGTAGCCAGGATCTACAGCTTGACCGCCACAAAAACCCAACCAATGAAGGTCAAGTTTGTCCCGGGGGAAAGTTAAACTGTCATTGGACCCGCAACGAAATTAATCAGAAGAACATAGGAGGAGTTCGAAATTAAGGTTCGACTTCCCTCCATTGCAAAGCGGATATTACCAACTATTATGTAGGTAGGTTCTTGTGTAGTTCTTCTATCGACGGACTACCGAGAGCTGGGTAACGAACAGAAACCTTCTTAGAGGTCCCTAGAGGGAGACTCTCCAGTCCATTCTGTTTATGTAACAACCTATCTTGTTTCGTTTCATCACATTCAATTCAAAGAATACTAAGTACGACATTAAAAATCGGTTGTGTTATGGTTGTTTTGCATAAACATTCAGTTCGTGTTGCATGTTTCGCGTCCGCAGATTAGTGCTACGATTGTTCAAGGCGAAATCGGTTTTCTTTCAGGAAAAATCGATAATTTGATTATTGTAAGGCTATCCCAGAGGAAAAGCCTGTATTTTACATGCTTTAACAGATCACAGACATCATCCTTTCCCACTCATGATAAACTTAAGTATTTGGAAATGCCTTATGCTTAATGTAGAGTCCACGATGTAGGTACAGCGATACAATAATTATGTAGCCTACCTACCACCTACCCTTATTTTTTTTCCTTCCACTGCGGAACTGAAAATACTTAACTAAATATCTTAATTACCTATTCAGTTAAAATGGGTGGTGCCACTTGGTTTGCCCTTTTTTATGAAAATTATTCAGGTACTTACACAAGCTTTTAGCTTTTCATACAACAAAAACTTCAACAATCCAATGATTAGCTACTTAATTTACCTACCTTTACCGATAAACATACCGCATACATTACGGTGCGAGGCTAGCCGGCTAGCGAACTCACCGCTCTTGCCTTGCTCAGCAAGCACGCGGTCGCGGCGTGATCAGCTGTGAGCGGGGTGAGGGGTGCGGGCGCGGCTGGCCATGCACTGAGCATGCGCCCACCACGTGCTCAGAGCCTTTATTGCCGAGCGCTTAGAGAAGCTATAAAATTAGTGGGAGGGAGAGTCGGTCGGTGTTTATGTAAGATTTCAAGGAAGGTCTTTGGTAGGTATGATGATGGATGTGCCTATGTATGAGTATCACCATATGAGTCACTCACACTTTCTGCTAAGAACTTTGTTTCATGAATAAGATCATCCTATGTTTTGTTGTACCGTACTTATACCTAACTTATTCATATTTTCATCTTGATCCCATCTAGTGAAACTATAACTGCTCCTTATGAAATTAATAATTAAATTATTAAAATTGGTTAGTAAAGCCACAGATAATATAAATAAAGCTTAAAAGCTGGGTAAAAAATATCGCAAAACGACACGCTAGATTTTTTTTTCGTATTAATAAATATTAAATAGTGAGCAAACCTATACAAGTATGGCAATAAATTTTCGCGCAGTTATTTGAGGCAAGCAACAGATGAGCACGGCACTAAAGGCTCTCATTCGCGGTTTAGGCCACAGAATACTAAATAGTCAGTATACTCAACAGTTGCCAAAACCGCTTTCATGGCGATACGTCTCAAAATAAAGGACATAAACCTTAGTTAACTAGATTTGGAAATCTGTAAGTTCAAAGACAGTCTTTCTGTTTTGGTATTTTTCTGTAAATTGATGTTATTTTTAAAGCAAAAGTATTTTTTTCTGGCTTTGGCGTATTGTTATCAGTTAGCCTGTGGTCGTGGTTTCTTTTTACTGTATAACAGAGGGGCAAGGTGGGGCGGGGGCAAGCGGTTTGTTGTTTCGATCGGCTGCATGGCATTCGGCCGAGTTCCAGCCAGTGATCGTTTGGCAGTAGAGGTGTTACCGGCTCCTCTGCCAATCTAATGGAACATCGTTCCTTCCAGCGAGTGTCGTCAGCGATCGTGTTCAACATACTAAACATTCGCCATAAACCGTACAACTGTCGAAAACAACAAATCCTGCTCCTGCTATTATGTTGTTTAAACGGATCATTGAAGGAAAGTCCATGTTGAATGCCGATGCCAAGAACAAATCGGTGGAGAAATGTTCCAGAAGGAAGTCGGAATGTGACGGTTGCAACGAGCATTCTACGTAAGTTGGTGCTTTGTTTTGGTCTTGACCTATGGCACTGGACAATATTAAGCACTTAAAATGCAATTTAATAATAACGAAACTGCGGAATCAACAAATTCCATACACTATCCTTAAACTTTAGAAAAGGCCAAGCGCAAGCCAAATTATTCCCTATTTCGCAAAGCATAGGGAACTAATTGGCTTGTGCTAATCTTGCCTGTCTTGACTAGAGGAGGCAAAGTAATGATTAAGTCGCTATTTGGATCATCATAACAATAATGCAATATAGCAGCATTAACCTATACATATAAATAAATCAAGTAGGTAGCTATCTCTAAGTCCGCACCTGGTTACTGGGTTTTACATTGGGAATCGGTAATTTTATCAATATGAATCAAGTGTTGATTATTCTACAATTTTAATTTAGAATTTTGTCTTATTTCAAATAAAAATGACCTATTTATGATAATTTGCACTGTGACATAATCGGGAAAGTTAAAAAAACAATGTTCCATATTTTTTTATCCATTCAACTTTTCTGAAAAGTCTAGAAAGTTGAGGGTGTAGTAAGGGTAACCTACCCTAAAGCTCCTTTTCCATAAACATGCGATTCATTGAAACATAGGTATTGCATTTATTTATCACAAGTAGGTATAAAATGTAATAATAATCAACAATAAAAAACACCACGATTAGTTAGGATAACAGCAGCCGGCGAAACATTGAAAACAAAATTGCTTAGTAGGTACCTAGTACATACTAGGTGGGTTTCTTTTTCAAAATAGGTATTAGCTACTTAATAATCGTAAAATTACGATATCGTAATTTTACGGAATACTGATCGAATAATATAATTATCTGTCCTATTTGTATAATCCTCTCCTATAGAAATCAGGGATATCCTCTTTCATGTCCAAGCCGGTCTTTTCAATGTTGTAGATATTAACACGTCCGACGCCACGCGGTCAGCTATGACCCCCTCAAAGTCTCTCTGCAGATGACTTAACTTTATATTACGTTTTCTATGTGTATGTTATGATGAGTAGAACAAACACTACATAGAATAGAATAGAATAGAATATTATTTATTTGGCACAATACACAATACATGATATAGGCACAATACAAGATTAAAACATAGAAAAAACATAATATAGCATGTGTAATACAAAAAGGTGCAACACTTATATATTCAAGATCGTAGAGTCTATTTTTGTACTGACGCAAAATTTATAAGTTAGTACCATACTCATAACAAATAGGTAATTTAAGATGACGTGGCAAGCATAGTGACATTAGTGACCCTTGAAAAAGCAATGTAACTTTTTTGTCCTTTTCCGCGGTACCTACATAAAGGACAAACCAGTTTTGCGATTACGACGTAGTAGTGTAGAGTCAGTGCTGACTTTTTTGTCATTTACATTATTTAATCGCGAATAAGTGACAAACTTTAGTAGTTAATTTCGTAGAATTATGATAATGATCCAGGCTAGTGGTTTACAGTAGTCGATGTTACTGAATAAACATTTCTTCTTTCTTTCTTCTGGCGTAATCTTCACACTCTCATAAAAAATATTTTAGTTTAGATCTAAACTAAGCGAATATTATCTATAATAATCGCAGTAGATAGCTTGAAAAAAAAAAACAGAATAAAGCATGAGTTATGATGCCACAGATAGAGTAGTCAAAATTATAACACCCCTCTTTTTCCGCCGGGGATTAAAAATAGTATTTTCGCGAATACTGAGGGTTTAAACCACCTAGGCAGATGTAGAGCGATGCAGTTCTAATATTAGTTCGATCTAAAAATAGAAAGTGCATGAAATAACTGGTTCGCTTATTCAATGCTTCGGCATTTGCCATTACATCCACACTTACACACAAGAAACAAAAATTGTTTTAAAGATGAACTCTACTTACATACATTGTAGCTTAATATTTTCAATACTTAACTCGATAAAGTATATTGACTCTATCTCAGGTATATTTTTTTATGCATTGTATGTAGGTACAATATGTATTTACATGTACTCGTATATTGCTGTTTTGTGAATTACCATTTGGATTTTCCAAAAAGCAAACTGTCATAAAATACCTACCCGACAAGGTCATTCCACTGACTTTGATACATTGCTCTTGCCTCTTGTTACAAACAATATGTTTAGCACGCTCTTTATATCCAAAGCAGTCGATCTAAAGAGCTAACTCAAAGCTAACATTTTTATGGGCATGTGAAATCATTATTTTACGAATAAGTAATGCACGGTGTGAACGCCTTTAACGGTAAGGTTTACTACTTATTTCAACCAGCTTTTCTTAAACAATAACAATAACTGATGCTAATACGAGTAGGTCTTAATTGTTAATTTCTTCTAAAGCTATACTTTCAAAAGAATAACAGGAATAAAAGGATTAGGTAAATTAACAAATTGTACAGCCACACTAAACCAACTTCACACAGAATTGTAGAGTTACCTACAAATATTAATTACGTGATGTTGTTATTATTACTTATGCAGGAAGGACCTATCGTAATATGATTGGAAGAATAATCCAACATTGAATTTATTGTTGTATGAATTTTAAACTAGCTTCTGCACATGGCTTTACAGCTACAATTTCGATTTGCCATAAAAAATATTAATCAAAAAACTGTATTTCTTACTTCTATTAATTAGATTAGATAATCAATTTCTTAACCCTAACTTTAGTATTTATTGCCTATAACATTTTTGTGGTATAAAGTGCTAGCATGCTTTTCTTTGTTGTGATGACGTAATACTTAAAGGGACAGACTGGGACAGACAAAGTCACGTACGAATTTTAAAAGTACCTGTAACTTAATCTCGTTTCCATATAAAACATTATTTTATTAACTAATTAAAATTATGATAAGAAACAATGAGCAACTAAAGGGGGAGTTACATTCTATAAAATAATTAAAATAGGCATACATTGCATCATCGTGGAAAATTAGATCTAAGGTGATTTAGGCAGTAATATAATTTTTCAAACTTTTAATTTATGACCATTAATGTGAATATTTTCATACAATATTTTATCAAATGTCATGTTGGTCAATTATTTTAATCTCTTGGGTTGCATAATAATCAGGGTCGCTGCTCTTTTAACTAAGATAATTATCTACTAGTATATAACTAACTATCTAGTTATCTCAAGTAGGATTGTCTGTTTATCGAATTCTTGGGGTGACCCACCATTAACATGTGCATAACTTGTATAAATATATAAATTACTTTCGTAATTAACGACGCTGTTATCGCGAATCCGGGGGCTCGTCTTGACAGCTCTGACGAAAAATATTATTGTCAGACAACTCGTGTGGCTATCACAGGTCAATATAGATACCCTTCTTCGAGAAGCAATAAAACTGTTTACCGACCCACTCGTTGTCCAGTCTCGTTTGAGAATTCATAGAAATAAAGCTCATGATATACTTAAAATTTTGTCAACGGTTAGTGAGGCGAGCTGAAATTTAATAGTGGAATTATTTAAATTGTCTCAATGGCAGTATAAATATTGGGCGTTTGTATTTGTTGCAGCATTCTTGAAGAAATGATGAAGATGGTACTGCTCGGCGTGGTGCTATGGGCGGGGCTGACTTTTGGAAGCCTCGTTGCTCCGTATCCACTGAATTTGCTTATCACTACTACGGGTAAGTTTCTGGATAAGATTTAAATAGCGGTTCTTCTAATAGTTCCTAATAATTAATTTACTGATTTGTGTATTACTTCTGTAGATATCACCCACCCACCGCCAATGTACGACTTCCCGTTCCCGAGTGCTCAGATGCTGAAAAGGATACCACCCGTTACGGCAGCACATACAAATAAGTCGATAAATGTCAGCAAACTCGGGGTCGCAATGCTGCAGAGGCTGGAAAACAACTTGGAATCTGCTGGGGTCACGCCAAAAGCGGGATCTCCTGCGCAAGGATTTGCTATTCTCGGATATCCATCGAGCGACGCAATGCACTATGAACAATCGTCAATGGTTGTGACTAAAGCCTCCCAGAACTTGGTGTACACCAGATGTGGAAGGTAAGCAAAAGCTTATCAATCTAATTAATATTAGAGGGAAGAAAAGGTAAGTGAAAAAGCAGTTTTCTCACCAATTATTCTCTTGTTTAGATATGGTTTGGCGAGTGACGAATGTGCGAGTTTCATCAGCACCTTGAATTTGCGTGAGAGTGAGTTTGGAGGCGAGTGTGCAGCGCTTGAGAGGTTCACGTGTCGATCCAACAAAATGTCCTCTCGGTACCGCACCTTCGATGGGTCTTGCAACAATCCAGTGCGGTCTTCTTGGGGACAGGCGTTGACGGGGTACAAGAGGCTCCTGCATCCGAGATATGCTGATGGTATCGAAGAGGTTAGTCTTGTTTTGAGCGCACTTTATCTCATGTCTCGAATTGTTACATGAACTTCTTATCTTATTTTCAGCTATACATATTATTATACCCCATTTAATCTTTTGTTATAATGTCAATAATCATGACATCGCTGTTTCGGTGACAATCTTTGTGCATAAATTGAGTCTTCCAGCTACTTGGCCCACTTTTAGCTTGGACCACGGGTCAAGTCGCCTGTTTTTTTTAAATATTTTGACATAATGCTTTTGAACCTGTTTATATATTAAAATATTTTTCTTATAGCCGAGGCGTTCTCTCAGCCACAAGGCGCTGCCATCAGCTAGGACTGTAAGCACGAAAATGGCTGGCAACTTGGACAAACCTGATGATACAAAAACCATCGCTTTGGCCGTCTGGAGTCAGTTTATCTTCCACGACTTGGTTCACACACCTGTTAGAAAAACAAGTAAGTTTCTGTGCACCAAAATCAATCCATAAAGTGGTTCTATGTTTTTATCTACCCATTTAGACAAAAATCTTCCTCGATTTTACTACCGTTATATTTTGTACCGTTCATGTAGTTAGTTCTTACTTTGTTTTACTTTTATCTGTCATAGTCGTGAATGGGTTAAGAAGATAAGCTAACGTTAAAATTAATCTTATGTCGGCGCTAGTTAGACTCAACATGACTCACAAGTTATGTAGTATTTACTTTTAAATCCTTATAAATAGGTATTTTATTGTCCACTCTTGCCTTCAGTTCACACCAACCAAGCAATTCGGTGCTGCGATAACGACGGCTTCACCTTAACCCCTCGGTACATCCACCCGAGCTGCATGCCGATCTCGGTGTCCTATGACGACCCATTCTTCAAGAGCCAGTTCGTGTCCTGTATGGAGTACACGAGATCCGTGACCACATACCGAGGGGACTGCACTTTTGGAGCGTCTGAACAGGTCAGTTTGTTTTTACTTTTTTGGTAACGGTATTTTAGGTCTGCAGAATATAACGGTCTTTTCCTTTGTTCGGTCAGATTTAGATTGACTAATTCTTAATTTATTTACACATTCATTCTTCAAGAGTAAATAGCTCTACAATATTGATTTAACTAAATTAATGTTGTCTCTTTTTATCAGAGTTAAATTAACATTTGACGGAAAGTGATAAAGTATTTAATTGATATAACTGTGATAATGTAAGTAGTTTTCTAATTATTGAACGCAATAACTGATATAGGTTTCTTAGGCAATAAAAACAATAAAAACACTTACATGGGCAGATTTATTAAAACATCATTTTGTATGAAATGCATTTCAGACATTCGTGCCTTCATTTCATTTAGCTTGCTATGTATTTACTTTCTATTTCCTGTAGACCTTCATACAACGTTGATGCACATTTTCGCAACAAAGAATATTGCTGTGTAGTAAAAACATACAACATTGCAAGTAGGTATTTCTCTAAAGTCAACTATAAGTACCTAAACCTGGGATAAGATTAACATATCGTGTTTAATAGTCAACACTCAACATGTTTACGTTCTATTAAATAAGAAGGCGTGTACTGTGTGTAGTACGTAGGTATTTTACTCTGTTGTTCTTATTGATTTCCTTGAATGTCTCAATAGACTCGTGTGCTATGACACTGCGCATGATTCATGTTATGAATGAAATCGTTCAAGGAATATTAAATATCACGCAGTAACATCGTGGCAAGATTAATACATAAAACTCAATAATACATAGTCATAGATAAAAGTATGTAGGGCAAATGTAAAACTTTTTTTTATCATTCTTGCTAACATACATAGGTTCGCATGTAATACGTATTATTATTCCTAGAAATGTTCCTAATGATGACGTCTCATTATAATGAAAATAATAAAGATTATTGTGAATTGGTAGGTACGCTTCAGATCGTAAACAGTTGTAAAAACCAGTCGCTTTTAAAGTTCAATTTGAGGTTAAGTGCTGGAAAGTGAACAAATATTTTTCGATTTCGATTCATTATGCTCATTATAAATCAATATTAACTTTGTACCTATATAGGTACCTACCCAGTTACTGAGTAATGTCTAAAAAGTGGCCTTGCCAACTCTTTGACCTGAATGAACTCTGTAAACAGAAGTGCTCTACTATTAAATTCTTCATAGGCTTGTTAAAATTTTCCACGGCTTAGATTGAAATGTATCATCTTAACATTGGAGTGAGCCAAACGAATTTATCTCAAGGAACATAAATTGTGAGTAGAGACAATCTATTGCCGTTATTGGTATCAATTAAAAAACAAATGACATTTTTCATGTTTGAAATTTTCCATTGTTCTCTTCAGCCAGCACACTGAACTTACCTACATGTAAATAAAATGTAAGTTGCTAGTTAAAGTTATTGTTAATACATAGTACATATTTATAGTTTTCAGCATTACGCAAATCGCTATCAAAAATTATCGTATTGTTGTGTTTCTACAAACATCTTGATAACTCTACGTTATTTCGTAGCTTTCTCGTAGCCTCTCTCGAAACAAGTAGGTATAATAAGGTCACTTACATCTGCATTATTTTCACTTTACGTATCTTATCTTGTACGAATATTTAATTTTAATAATGCCTCGGTATATTTAAGAGCAAGTAATGTACATGGGTACTTCTCATTTACACTCAAATTTGATGGTCACACAATAATAGTTCATAAACGGTATAAGTTAGAACAATACCTTTGAAATCAGATGATAAAATATCTATTTAGCTACATACAAAATAAATTTTATCGTAATAGAAGCAAAAATAATACGAAAAAATCACATGAAACGATAAAAAACGGGGTCACTTTTCGCGTTCTCATCGTGTCACACCTTCGGTTGCAATGAAACATTTGGTTACTGCATTCACAATTTTCATTCAATTTGTGTGTAGCATATACTAAAATCATCGTAATGAAATATACTTTCCACACAATAGTCAAAAAAATGTCTTCTTATAATTATTTTGAATTGAGAAAGCGAAATACGTTGGTCACACGATTTTAGGTGCCTAAAATTTTGAGTAATAATACAAGATTGCCGTTAAACCGAACACCAGGAACCAATCACAGTGTTATATTCGGTTAACGTCAGTCACGCTTCGACCATTGGGGAGGTGAGATAGGTCGATCGTCGCTCCGCGAGAAAAATACGTAGCTTTTTGTGATTGTCCATAGACATACCGTCGCTTGCTTGAACAATATTTTCTACCTCTAAAATTTAAACAATTTAATTGAAACTTTGCCATTGAAAACTTAACATGTTAGACTTATTTGTGTAGTATTCGACTTGAACCGTTAAATTCAAATTTAAGGATAATTCATAAAAAACTAAAATTTTCGTCACCTTCGTGGCATCACCTTCATGGTGTTTTATACACGAAGGTGATTTTAGGCCACGAAAGTGATTTCTTGCTTTGGTTTATTTTAAAATATAGTGACTGGTGTTTTTGTTTTTACAATATTTTAATAACTAATAAATTATACGTGGTAAAGTAGAGATCAGTACATCAATAAATAAATAAGGGCCTCGTATTTTTGTTGTCTGTCTGTATGACTGTATGTATGTCTGTATATGTGACTGTGTAACTATCTGTTTGTAAGATAAATTAAATCTGAAGTTTGAGTTAAAAGTTGTACAACAAAAATACGAGGCCATCTGGCCTAAATAAAAAATATATTTTTGCTGAGGGACTGATAAATCAGTTAGAGTTCTTTTTATTTAGGTACTGATAATCCGTTTTTTGCTTCTTTAGCATTTCAGAATGCCACCAGTGTCACCCTTAAAACCAATTGCGTAGAATCTTGTAACTTAGTAGGTGACCTACTTAATCGGTAAAAATTTATCTTGTATTTAAGTAGGTGCCTATTTATATTATGTTATTGCTATTTATCTATGAAAATAAGACAAAATATATGTTTTATAAGAGTCATTTACAGTAGTAAAGTTTGAAAAAAATATTGCTGTGAAGTACAGAATCACTTTCGTGGCATCAAAAAATTCAAAACGTTAAATCTTCCAAACGAGACTCACTATTTGACTGATTTACTGAGAATACAATCTTCACATCAAGCGCTACAATTTTTGTTTACAAAAAGTTGAAATAAGTTAGAAATAAAATTCGCCACGAAGGTGACGATGAGAACCGTGACGATGAGAAATAGCCACATAGTTAGAGTAACTCTAAGGCTGAGTTGCACCACCTAATTTTGACCGTAACTTTAACGATAACCGGTGTGTTTTGTATGGAGTTTGACTGATTTTTGACGTTATAGTCAAAGTATGATGGTGCAACCTAGCCTAACTCTATCTCTGGAATAAAACGGATCTTGAGTAATTGTAATTTTTCCCGCGGACTTAGGACTCATCCAGAATTGAGTTCGATTATTAGATCCGGCCGTTCTAAACATAGCTTTGTAATTGTATAATGTGCAGTTGCAGTTGCATAACGTCGTCACAGGGCACAACAGCCGGCACAAGGTCAATTCTGTAACGTTTGTGATAAACAACGTAATTACGACGTAGGGGAGGCACGGTACCTTTTAGCACTAAATATAGACCTATGCGAACCTTCGAGAGATGGGTGTGTGCGAATCGTGCGACTTTTTAGGAGATGTAGAGACCTTAAAATTCATCTGGGTAAATCAACAAACTGTGTTTTAAAGCATTTTTACCGCTACCTCGCTACGATTGAGTTCGAAATATGTTACTTTCTCCAACTAAGTATTGAGTCAATGTTTGTATTTTTTTCCATACCCATATACTCGTACGTAGGTAGTTAATTTTTCTAAAACCTAAATCTGAAAATGGTTAAGCTGGAATAATTTATTTTGAGTAGCCCATGACTTTGAAAATGTATTTTTCCACTTAAATACTTAACTCTATTATACCTCCTTCTTCCTGTAGATACCTATAGGTACTACCACAGAAATAGGAAAACAAAGGGAGAAACGTTTGTACATAATGATTTACAACAGTAATAACAAAGATATCGAGACCTTGTTTACTTGCTCGAACCTTGATATCTGACGCATGCACAAATGCATAAGTTTTCCTTGTTTATAATATTAAATTTAGAGCGGCCCACGCGTTTGCTAGAGCTATTTTTTACTTGGCTTGCCTCCATGGTTATAAACTTATAACTAATGAGTCCACATACTTTGAGAGACTTCTAGAAAGTGAATCCAAGGTGTAGTTTCAAACTCTGACGTAAGTTGTTTACATAATAGTCAATCAGATCAATGCCCTATCTTAATGAATGGGCTGGAGACTACGTGACAATGTGATGTTGGTAGAAGTTTAGTGGAAAATTACGCGGACACTTTCACAGTGTAGTTGAAACAATGGATAATGTGTGTTCAGTCGGATATTACGTGACGGCTTCCTATTTCGTGTTGATACTAGATGGTGGGACAGGGTTGTCAACTTTGTTATTTTGGGAACTATACTTTGGTACAATGCAGCAATTTGTGTTGTTTCATATCAACGATTTGTTCAGTAGTTCCTAGGGAGAATTTTAGTAAATGAAATATAGAAGATATAAGACCTAAGTAAAAGTTTTCACTTTGGGTAGGAACTAATAAATCATTATAAGAGAGCCTTTGACAGTGCGCTAACTCAAATAATAATGATTCAAAAGCAACCTAAAATAAAATTCTACAATTAACTAAAAGTAAAATCCTTTGTGGAAATCCTTGGGGAAGGCCTTTGTCTAGCAGTGGACGTCTTTCGGCTGAAACGAACGAAATGGTTTCTGGACGAATGTCCTTCAGAAATTCAGATCTAATTTTCTGGACTTAAATACGGATTTTTTTTTAGAGAAAAGCCTTGAATTTTTTAAACAATTGGTCACCTCTACCAGTTGAGTAAACAGATCGATATAGCTTTGCATACAATTTAACCATGCAAATAAGTGCTCGTTGTACAGTCGCGCGCGTAGTCGGCAGCCTTCTGACTCTACATTTTTGGTGCATATTCGCATTTATTTCAACTGCATAAGATGCTAGTGTTTCATTGTGTCGTCACTTCTGTGAATAATTTTATTTTCGATGTTCGACCTTCGACAATTTAATGTCGATGAGTATGAGTTTGTAGTAGGTAACTACATGCCTCCTCCATTTGATTACACAAGGTTTTGTTTTTTATGTTTTGCTTATTAATGTAAAATATTATTGTTTTGACTTATATTCAATTTGATCCAGTTCATCAATTTATTATTGTTATTTAAAAATATTTACAGTATCTGTGTATCTAAATTTTTTAGTAGTCGCCTTTTAACTATACGGGGATAATTTAATGTTTATTAATTGTATTATTATTATGATAGGTAATGAATATTCTTTATAGCAATGAGCGCGTGTAAATCAATATGTATTATGCGTTTTGATTACATATTACCAGCTTTTGCAAGCGACTTAACCAGCGTAGAGTTGAATCAAAGCATAATTCTATTAAGACGCAGTGAGCATTAAGCTATAAAATAGTAGTTTTTCGTAACGAACCATCCATCAATCTTCACAAAAGTTCGCGTTTATCGATGGAGGTTTTAAAACTTGATGAGTACAGCACATCAGAATATGTACTTTTGTTGCACAATAGCATAACAACTACTTTAGATGCCACATCATGCCTTGTTTAGTCGTTATTATGTTTTACACAATGAATTATTTTGATTATGATTAAAATCAAAATTGGTTCAGTGATTAGGTTAACAATTCCAGTTAACATAACAATTTAGTATAACAAACTGCGTACTTTATTATTTACAATTTTAGTATTAATGTTAATACCTATCTAGCATTACAATTAAAAGTCCCAACAACTTTGTCCGCAGATGAACCAAGCCACCCACTTTTTGGACGGCTCTCACATCTACGGGTCCAATAGTCGCGACGCAGCGGCCTTGAGGGAGAAGACTGGTGGACTCCTGAAGACTTCCACCGTGGATGGAGAGGAACTCCTGCCGTTGGCTGCGAACCCGACTGAGAAGTGTCTAGTCGAGAGCGCTTCTGGGACTTGCTTTAATGCCGGTATGTTTTTTCGTAACATAGTAGTTAAAATCGTTCTTGCAGTCAGGCGCACTTAGGTTTTTCTAATGAGGTTTGCTTCAATAGAATGAGTGATTAAAGAGGAAGGTTTAAATAAGAAGGACAATTTATTCATGCTTATTATGGCAAGAAAAGCTGGTTGCATCCACACGATAGAAGAAGAATAATACCTCGGTGTAGAATATTAGTTATCAGGCAATGATATTAAAATACTGAAAGAAGTAAGATATAAAGAATAAGATTTAATATAGACTTGCTTGAGTCTATGTAAATTACGAAACGTCATGGAATTTGTTTTGGTTTTATTTGATACGAAACGACATGACATGAGGTTTTATTTGATAAGAAACACGCAATGACAATATTATGATGATGAAGATTGAGATAACAAAAATGATAAGAAGATTAAATTGATTTGTTTAAGCGGCATGGATTTCTTGCTTGAAGATAACACAGACATGTTATTGTACCATGACGTACATTAAATATGGCTATAATACTATTTGCGAAAAGTTACAGACTGAAAAGTTTAATCCTTTTTTCCTAAGGTATTGGAATAGCGTCTCATTAAACGATATGAATGTATTAGCTTATCGACTAAATAGGTACAATATTCATTCATACATTTAACTATACTTGCACCCCTTGTTTGCAATAATAATTGCTCCTATTTACCAGTTGGTAGTTCCAAGAATGCTGCAGTGCTTACTTAAAGTAACAGAGTTTTTTGCGTAAAGTATAATAACATCAATTGGTATTTCTCTGTTTTAGGCGACGTCCGCGCCAACATGCACCCCTGGCTAACCAGTTTCCACACACTATGGGTGAGGGAGCACAACCGCATCGCCAGGTCGTTAGCAAGTATCAACCCTGGCTGGAACTCTGACAAGCTGTACCATGAGGCCAGGAGGATCGTCGTGGCAGAGCTGCAGCATATCACCTTCAAGCATTGGCTGCCGGCCCTGACAGGTAAAAGAATAATAATGTTATGGCTCATTTGATTCTGAAACCTCATAGCATTTTAGACGTGTGTTTTCGGCAAAGTAAATAGTAAATAATGCCTCTTTTTCACTGTTCTCATGGATGTCGTAAGAGGCTCCTAAACGAGAAATCCTATAGATGTGTGTGCAGGCCAAATCCTATAGATTTCCTCATCCTATGAATTTAAGAAAGTTGTGCTCTTGCAGTGAAGACTAGACTAGACTAGGAGATAGTGATGAAGATGATGAAATTAAAAAATGTAGTAGCCTTTTGTGTCATATAAGTAAGCTAGTCAAAGTATGCTTCGTAGGTAATTAATGAACAGTTAGGCGGCTAACACACTGCGCCGCGCTCCGCCGCGGTACGCGGGACGACAGATTTAATCATTGTATGCAAATACCTCAGTTTGTATAGAAAACACTCGCGGCACAACAACACACTGACAACGCGTCTGCGCGCGGGATTTTTTATATGAAATCACGCGCGGCGGAGCGCGGCGCAGTGTGATAACCGTTTAAAGCAATCTATGAGACGTCAAAACTTACGATCTAAACCAAACTACGTATTGTTCTAATACAACTCTTCATTACAGGCAAAGCGTTCGACGAACTGTACGACGCCTACGATACCGGCTACAACTCAGACCTGGACCCAACCATCACCAACTCCTTCGCCACAGCTGCTTTCCACTTCGTCAACAGTCTGTTCGACCAAGATATCGAAGTCGAAGGCCATTCTTCTAGACTGGTTGACGGCTACTTCAAGCCAGAGATGGTAGCGCAAAAGGGCATGATGCAAAAACTGGTTAAAGGCATGGTCACGCAGAAAAGCCAGGGGCTGGACTTCAATTATGATGATGATGTGAGTATTCTTGAACGTTTGTATTTTGAATTTTGATTGTGATGTTATTCAGACTGTCAAGGCTCATTATTTATTGGAATGTTGAAACCTAGGAACTTATACAGAAGTCGGTATCAAACCCAGAACTTTGAGTTTAAAGATTCCTAACTCTCCTCTAAGCCACAGAGTAATAAATAAATTAGTGATCAACTTTTGGATTGGTGTTCGTATACTTGGACTTATGAAATATTTATCTTTTCACTCAGCTCTTAATGAACTAATTTATCAAAACATTTAAAGGTTGAATCGTTATTTATTTGGAAAAAAGGGTAAATTACGTCGCCACGTAAAGTGAAATCCATTGTTCAGCAATAGTGTAATTATTTTCACCTAATTGTAGTATTGAGTCAGCTACTCCATGGTAACTATTTCGCGTGTTAGCAAACAATTATGTTGACTTTATGTTTGCTGACCTTAACGCTGATGACAACATTTGGCACCATAATTATAGTTTTACGTTTCTTGACAAGGAAAATCGTGGTCAAATATTTGTCCAGTCACTATTGTTGAACATTTATGTTGATAAATGCGCGTTGCTTGTATAGACTTCATGTATTCAAACATCTTATTCAAATAAAACTTTGTCCAATCCGGAGCAACTAAAAAACTCGTGGTGGGGAGTGTAAATCCTCCATTTCACACTACCAGCGCTCATGCTCCTGCAATGTAGACTTACCTGATGATTATGACTAGGTACCTACTATGATATAACCTGAGAAAGAGCAGCCCCTCTCCTAACACCGACTTGACTCTAAGGTCCTATGTCCCCTAGAGGGGGCAGAGGGCGTCCACAGCAGTCCTCCATCGCGTTTGGTCTTGAGCTTCGCGTTTGATCTCGCTCCAAGTCTTGCCGATTTTCTTCGCCTCGTCTGCTAATGAAACTTCTAACACAGGCTTTGCAAAATTTAAAAGGAGAGTCCCATCCCCAGTAATAAAACAAATTATGCTTGTTTTACAGTTACGTCATCGCTGGCTGGGTGGTTTGGACGTGTTGGCTATCGACATCCAACGCGGCCGCGACCATGGCCTGCCCGGCTACTCACAATATCGAGTGCTGTGCGGACTCTCGCAAGCTACCACGTTCCAGCATCTTACTGACGTCATCCCGCAAGAGGTATGTGAAGACGTTCATTTGTTTTGAATTTATCCATACGGCACCTTTACTGATGTTATCCCACAAGAGACCGCCTTCATTTGTTTTGAACTCGTCACTGCGGGTGGTTTAGGAACCACCAGCTTCCCCACCTAATTGACGTCATTCCACGAGGTGGGTGAAGAAAATCTTCATTTGTTTTGAATTCACCACTTCAGGCCAGTGCAACTTCATACAACGTCGTTTTATTACCCTTTAGTACAGATGACGGTACATCAATGTAAACACTGTGGTACTTTATTGGGTTGCAATAGGGGCGACTGCAACAAAAATGTATAGTCTGATGTGATGATTCGTTATACAAATGCTTCGGAATCTGGATAGAAATATCTCAATTTCAAACTAGGTGACGGTGCTAGTGGCTTGGGGCAATTAAGGATAAAAAGGTCTATTGTAACGCACCATGAAACGCATTCCTCAAATAGAGTCATGTAAACCACATTTTGCACCGTTAGGTATTTTAACTGTCACGTCATTGTATATTTTTACCTTGTTAACCTATCTAATAAAACACTTGTACAAGTTTGAGTCAAATGAAGACAGAACACAGAGAGAATTCACAAAAAAAACTTACGAATTGCTATAGTACCTAAATTAAATATCGCTAGTCACTGTGTAAGATACCAAGCAATTAAGTTATTTAATGCCTTGCCTGTAGAGTTTAAAACTATTTATAATTTTAATAAATTTAGAGATAAGCTTAAGTCTTTGTTATTGAAGAAATTTTATTATTGTATTGAGGATTATTTATATGGTAAAAAGTAAAGATCTCATTTTGTTAAATGCTTCCTTAAAGTTTTATGCTGTGTTGTATAATTTGTGATTTTATATCGGTTGATGTTTTTTAATTTTTCATGTTTTTTGTAATATTTCCAATACGATAATGTTATTGTTTATGGAATAAATGACTATGACTATGTACAGACGGGGGCCCCCTCGGTCGCGGGGCCCTGGGCATGTGCCCAAAGTGCCCAGTGGGAAAGAGGGGCCTGGGTGCATAACTAACTCAATCAATATTCACTATGTTTTGTTTGTCTGCAGACTGTCGACAAGCTGAGCCAGCTATATGAGGCTCCTGGCGACGTGGACCTGGTCGTTGGCATGATGGCCGAGACGCCCCTGCCTGGGTCGCTGCTCGGACCTACTGCTACCTGCTTCCTTAGTAAGTGTTTATTAGATAAAACGTAGCCTATAATTATAGCCTACTAGCGTCCGCCCGCGATTTCGTACGCGTGGATCCCGATTTACCCCCTTAGGGGTTGAATTCTGCAAAAACCCGTCTAAGTGAGCACCTAAATTCTAAAAGGAACCCCATACAAAATTTGAGACTCCTAGCGCTTGTTGTTACTGAGATTTCGTGATAAGTCAGTCAATCAGTCAGTGACCTATCGCTTTTATAATATATTGTGAAGTATCATACATGTTTGCGTTTGCGTTATGGTATGGGGCACATAGCATGTTACGAGTAGAATAGATCCCATCAAAAACAATACTTGTCAAAAAAACCAAGTCTCGCAATTCAGTTGTTCTACAGTAAAAAGTTGTGAGATCCATGTAATACCAAGTCCAGGCCAGGAAATCTTTAACGTTTTACATAAATTATTGACTTGGCCATCGCACTAAATAATTTAATTTACACGTGTTTTCATGCGATGGCCAAGTCAATATATGTATTTATGTAAAACGTTAAAGATTTCCTGGCCTGGACTTGGTATTACATGGATCTCACAACTTTTTACTGTAGAACAACTGAATTNATATGTATTTATGTAAAACGTTAAAGATTTCCTGGCCTGGACTTGGTATTACATGGATCTCACAACTTTTTACTGTAGAACAACTGAATTGCGAGACTTGGTTTTTTTGACAAGTATTGTTTTTGATGGGATCTCATTTCTTTTTGTATTTTGTAGACAGCAGTTATGTATCTAGAAAACTGGACCGAAATTAAAAAAATTCTCTCGACTTGGTGGTTGCACTACCGTGCCCCCAAATCTCATTTCTTTTTGTATTTTGTAGACAGCAGTTATGTATCTAGAAAATTGGACCGAAATTGAAAAAAATTAGGTACTCGACTTGGCGGTTGCACTACCGTGCCCCCAAATATTTTAGTTTTTCCTTGATTCATACATCAAACACTACTTATATTCCAAATTTGAAGCTTCTAGGTCTGCTAGAAGTGCTTTAGAATTTTGATGATCGGTGAGTCAGTCAGTGAGTCAGTGAGTCAGTGAGTGACAAAATTAAGTAACTTTGACCCGTTATAATTCTTAAACTACTGGTTCAAATTGAATAAAATTTTAAATATACCGTGTCTTTACAATGCCTGCATAGCTAATGAAAATTCAGCCTTCTAGTTTTATCAACAACGCAGTTACAGGCGGTCGAAAATGGGCTGAATTGCTTCGAGAAAAGGATGGTACGGCCGTGCCGCTTTTTTGCTCGACTTGGTGGGGGCACTGCCGTGCCCCCAGATAGTCGTTGAGGTGGAAAAACCCTCAAGTGCCGACACGGATTGAATGACGCCAAAAGTGGTGCACGCAGATTTTCCTCTAGGTTGACTGATGATCTGCTGATAATCGCGGGAATAATCTCCATAAGGGTGACACAGGACCGATCGTGGAAATCCTTGAGGGAGGTCTTTGTCCAGCAGTAAATTCTTGAGTAAATAACGAGTTGCTATTGGATCTATTTAAATTATCTAGTCATAAAGGTAGTAAGAAGGCTTTGGATGCAGGCCGCTACCAACTGGTCAATATGGAAGGGAATTATTGGGGGAGGCCTATGTTCAGCAGTGGACGTCGTGTATCTTTAATGATGATGATGATGATATTTTCGACATTTGTCTTCTTAAAATAATAAAAAGCATAATTTAATTATGTTTATCATCTACTTTTATAACAAAATCTTACTTTAATTTGCAGAAGAGCAACTCTGGCGCACCCGTTCCGGCGACCGTTACTTCTACTCGCATACCGACGAAGCGGGCAGCTTCACCAAGCGTCAGCTGGCCGAGCTAAGGCGCGCCACACTCGCGCGACTGGTCTGCGACAATGCTGACGTGGTATCTGTGCAGAGAGACGTGTTCCAGCCGCCTTCTGATAGGTATGTTGATGTTGTTGTGATTTTGGTGTTGTTTAATGATGATGTTTTAATGTGAAAATGCAGGACAATTATGTGAAAGGTCAGAGGCATAAGTTGAAGCGAATAGTTGAAGGCAGGGAAAAATGGCGCGATTGAGAGTCTTTGTCGAGTAGTGGACTGTTATAGGCTGATAATAAGGACTGTTTCATGTCTCTATCGATAAGATATCAGAATAAATTTTTGTTCCATAATGTTAATGTATTGTCACCGCTACAGTGAGATTTCCCAAAGTCTTCTTCAAGGAAAATATATCCGAGATAAGTGAAAATAGAGTAGTTTAGTAGCAATCATGATCCAACCTATAAATTAACCTGGTTTGAAGATTCACGTAGCCGATTACTATTTATCTATCAATTCGTTTCCCGCAAGACACAAACATTTTAAAGTCATGATCACCAAACGAGTAGCCCTTAATTTCATAAGTCCTGTTTCGTTGTTACAGCAATCCCATTGTGTCGTGTGAAGAGATCAAAAAGGTTAACCTCGAAGCTTGGCAAGACCCTTCGCAGCAACCGGACATCTTGACTCGCACTAACAAGTGGATCAAAAACAAAGTCAGCAACTCTACAAAATAGTAGCACAGTGTGCGGGAACCTTAAAATATTTATTGTGAATATGTTATTTCCTAGCCTACGATGCAAGTAATACACTATTTCAGTAAATTTGTGTATTTTATTTGTCAATGTAATAATTTTGAACCAATTTAAATAATTCTTTGGAGTATTTTCTTGCATCGTAGACGCCGTAGTCGTATGAGTCAGTATTGCGGTTGTAGTAGAATTTAATTTAAGTTTATTTTTTAGTTCCTAAGATATAAAGAACAATCAGTTTGTTCACAAACATTCTAAATTAAACGTAGAGGCTCTATTTTACTTAAAAAGTTGACATTATTATCAATATAATGTCTTGTAGACTGACGTGGCACTACCTTTCAGTAGCACCTTGGGGAAAGAGCTTGTTTGTGGGCAAAAACGTAGGTAGTCGTAAGGAAAGGCAGCGGACACACGATGTATTTTATTCCAATACAGGGCCGTTCGCGCATAATTATTTTATGTGCAAAAAAACTTTAGAGCTTAATATTAAAATGGCACTTTTACGATTTAATACCAAGCATCGTGTGGACGCGGCCTTAGTACCATGTTGTACAGTGGCTGTGATAGTCTAGCGGGTTGAAATTCGTCCGCTTGCCGAAATTTTGTCTCGACGGAGACCTTTTAGGCCTTCGGATCCATATGTTAAAAGACTCCGAGGCCTTATATCAAACTTTTGAAAATCTGATTGAATATTTGAATGGAGATTTTAGAATAAGTAATATTATGATCAAAAAGTTGGGAGTTTTTGGAAACCCATCTACGTAGGTAGTTTCCAGTGTTCGTACCCAAAAACGGATTACTTAATATTGAATTATGAAAGTTCAAAAGATACCTATTTTTCATGCTAATCATGAAATTAAATAAACAAGCTTCTAATTAAAATAATAGTTCTTCGGATTTGCTCCTATTTTTTATTTTTAAATATGATATAATTTTTATGATAAATTACAAATAAGTTATTAATTATTTCGTCACCGTCGTGGCAGAATTAAATAACTGACAAAACCAAAGTTGCGAGATATTCACGTTTTTGTGATTTTTTTCGTTAAAAATGGCGATAACTTTTAAGGGTAAAAATATTTTATCGTCGGTCTTTTGATATTTTATACAGCAAATTTACCTTTATTAAATCAATATTCTTCGATGACGTTATTTTGTATTATTTTAAATAAAAAAAATAAAAATGTAATTATTTAGTTTTGCCACAACCGTATTTTACAACTAAGTTGCAGTTATTTAGTTTTTGCATGTCACTTATTTAGTTTTGCCACAACCAAGGTATTACAAAAACGAATATTTCCATTGAATAAGTACACTTGTTTAATTTTGCCACACTTTTATTGACCTAAATGTTGATTTATTCATTTTATTTTATTTGTTTTGTTAATGCGATTTTAGTCAAAATCTGTAAAATTGTTAAATAATACTAGAATATACCTACTTATTAAATACTTATAAATGTTTAACAAATTGGTATGGTAACCATCAACATCAGATTCCTATAACATTGAAATTAAATTGAAAGAACCAACATCAAAATGAATATCAAAATTAAAATAATCCAAAAACAATATAACTGTAATAGGAATATCTCCCTAGGGATCCATAGGGATCCCTTACCCTCAACGTCACGACAGAACGACGTTCAATGTCACTGCAGATCTCCGTTGACGCTAAGGCACATCGGCAGCTCAATAGACAGATATGGAAGTCCTTGCGACATGATGTTCGCAACTTTAATACAAATAGTATTAAAGAGGCGATAGAGCGGAACCAAGGCTCGAAAGTGTTCGCTAGAGACAACTAGCAATGTTTCGGATTGAGTTGTGGCAGAATTAAATAAAGTCACTTATTGACTTTCTTAGTACAAGTATTTTGAAGCAATGTTTTGCAGTGAGTTGTGGCAGAATTGAATAAAGTCACTTATTCAGTTTTGCCAGGTAAATTTTACAACAAACAGAGTTGTAATTTATGGTCAATAGTTTCACTAAACTGAAGATATCTTTGGAAATATCATAGATATTGCCACAAGAGTAAGACCAAAATATAGGTAACACTTTCTACTATACAAAAAGTGGAAAAAGTGATTTTTGCCAAAAGTGTCAGTTATTTAATTCTGCCACGACGGTGACGATTTGTACTTTTTCTTTTTGTATACTCTTCGTTAAATTGTATGTATTTTAAAAGTAAATAGGTTGTACTTATATTTCTAAAATGTTTCAAGATCAGGTTGAATTTTTCAAGTGTGTGCGTGTCTATATTTTACATGTCCTTGAGTAACCTTTTTGCCTTATCAGTTTTGAGACAACTGAGTACCTATTTGGCAAGACATAGTGCCTACTAACTACCGCATCAAAGTACTAAAGTACGTTCAGTTATTAATGCATACTTGAAATAGTCACCTTTATAGCTAAAAAGTGTTAATTGATCGGTCAGTCGCATTTTTTACGAATTTATTAATTAATATTTTGTTATTTAAAATGATTTTAATTATTATTGAGTTTACAAAGAATGTAAAAGCATTTCGTAATATTTAAATGGCATCAGCCATAATGCCAAAGAATGCAGCTGATTTTGTAACTCTTTTACCTACGCCTAAGGAAAAGAATCTTAAACTTATCTCTTTTATCAATTTCATTAGGAATAAGAAAGCATATGTTTTATTTAATCACTATCATAATTATTTCAACAATACTATGTTAACGCACATACCTAAACATCTTTCAGTCTGTATTTTTTGTATAATTCAACTGATTTTTCCAATGAAAGCGAGTTTTTGTAATTTTGGTCCACAGTATTCGACTTTAATGAATCTTAATTAAGTTTTTCTAATGTTGTTAAAGAAAGTTAATTTTTAATGCAAATGTAAAGTGCAACATTAGGAAAATTTGCCATTTTAATTCAAATGGCGTTTTAGTCGTTGCTAAGGAGCATTTTAGTCTTTGTAAAGTCAATGTTATTTAATTTACTTTGTTACTGCAAACCCATGGCATTAATAAACATTTTATGTAAAATGGTGGTTTATTTTTCTATCCATTAGCTCATGTATCTGTTATAGTCAAACCTCGAAGTTCTGGCACTCCTAGGTTTGACTAGTCAATCCTCAGGTCTGACTAGAAGTCTTAGTCAAAGCCCAAACATTTCGGCCTTTGACTAAATAATGTTAGTCAAACCTAGGAGTAACTAATTTGGTCAGGCAAACGTCGAAACTCAATTTAATGAAATCGGGGTTTGACTAGTCAAACCTCAATAAGACTTTAAACTAAACTATACTTCATTCTGATCTCGAATTTATTGCAAAGGCGTTACGGTCGGTTCTTTAGGTGAAGGTATGAGTAACTAAAATTATTTACTGCGGTTGTTTGTCAGTGTTTCTAGACCGATCTTGAAATTACTAATTTTTAGGGTTCTATTACCTTAAACTTTAAGGTAACAGAAGGTCATTTAAGGCTTAAAGGATAAAGAGTTAAAACGGGACCCTATTACTATGACTTCGCTAAATGTTGTCTGTCACCAGGCTCGTAACTCATGAATCATTTTCAAAAGATTTAGTTTTTTATTAACTTTAAAAATAAATAAATCAATAAAATACTTCAATATTTGAGCCCCTCCTATACAGCAAACGTGACTTTTTGCAGTTTTCTGCTCAATATTAAAACTCCCATACAAGAACAGAGTCGCACGGAACCCTTCGTGAGCGAATCCGACTCGCACTTGGCCGGTTTTCTATTTTCTGTCTACTTCTGACCGAGTCTGCCAGTCGTTTCTAGGATTGACTAGGCAAAGCCCGATACAGATTATTTTAGTTTCGACGTTTGACTGAACAGATTAGGCACTTCTAGGTTTGACTTAGTCAAAGGCCGAAATTAGAAATCACTTCGGGGTTTGCCTGAAGGCCTTAGTCAAACCTAGGATAAACCAGTCATTCCGCGAAGAGACTGCATATCGACCTTTGACTATGACATATCGATTGATTTTCGTTCCAAATGGAAATCCTAAGTTAGGTGTGTATAAAGGGTGAAATTGTTGCATGAAATACCATGTAGATACAAGGTGTACGTTACTCCAGCTGGAAAGTAGCTCGTGGTAGCTCCTAGAGTGATATGAGTAGAACGTATAATTAGTTCCAAACGTAGTGTAAATGTGCGCCGAATTAGAGATTTGTGCGTGCTGTCGTTTTGGTACAAAACGAAAAAAACGATTCCTGCTGGAGTAACGTTGTTCTAGCAGGAAAATTCTAAACGAATGATCGGAAAGATACAAGTACTAAGTAACATACTCGTATACTTGTATGGATCATATTTCGCTGGATTCAATTTGTACGTGTACCCGAGCGCAAAATTTCTAAAGAGGATGAGATGCGTAAATCCAAAGCCTGTTACGGCTTCGAATAACAAAGATCCTGATACTGAAACATTGAGGCAAATTGAACGACAAGTTAGGGGCGCAGCAGCTCAGTGAATTCGCAGAGTAAAGTGGTCCCAGGTTCAATTCTTGATGGGATCACAATATCACATTGTGGTTAATTTGTGAGTAAGTAAACGTATTTTGTTTCCATCATCGAGTGTAGAGAGACACTCAGAAATTAAAAATACCTAACTATCTTAAAGAACCTTTTCAAAAAACTTGCTTACGTAGTTACACTACTTACTTAAAAATAATATATACCTACCTTATATAATTAATTAATCATAAAGTACTTAAAGCAACATTTTAAAAATCCAAATTAGTTAGATACCTACCCATCCCCACGGAATAAACCAAATGATTGAATAAATTAAAAACTTATTAAATTATATGAGTAAGAGTTTATTGTGAGTGGGAGACATTAATTAGTCGTAAAGTGGAAATTTAAACAACAATACTTACCTACATTTGAAAGGCAAACAATTAAATAGATTTTATAATAAGTGATGATCAATGTAGTGACGCCAGCGACGACTTTTGTCGACCTTAGGGTTGACATTTATTTGCTTAGGCAAATAATACCCTTCTTTTAATTAAGTAGCAGTAGTTTTCCACCAAAGAAAAGTAAATCCTTTTAATAATAAAAGAAAATACTAACAAGTCGGATTAATTGATTTTAAGTAGGTAGGTAGCTACTTAATTACTAATTGGGACAGACCTACAGAGTTTTAGGGTTTTAGTAACAATTTAATAGCATCACAATGGAGGTGACATGAGAAATACCTAATATCGTTAAATTGAACCATCAACGTATCATTAAAATATTAGCAAATAAAAGAAATTGATCTGGCACATTGAAAAGAGATGTTGGTAAATAAATCTAGGAGCAAATAAAAAAAATTTTTTTCATTTCCGTTTAGAATTCAATCACGTTAAAAGTTTTTGCTTTTGCATACGGTTGG